CAGTCATCCAACACGCCCTGACTGCCTTTGATGGACCAGGTCCTGTGCCACCTGCTGCACATAACAGCAGGTGGGGCTTCCCTGTCCACAAAAAGCTTGTGTTCTGGAAATGAAATTACAGTGTGACAGGACGAGGAACTGTTCTTTATTTTCACTTTATTACATTCGTTCAACAAATTTGAGGGCAAAGCACTGTGCTGAATTTCTTAGCAGCAGGTGACTTAACGAATGGCTACCTGGTTCTTTTGCCCAAAGCATTCAGTAGAAGTCATAAGTTCAGGGGCTTTGCTGAGTGACTAAGTGTGCCATCGTTTGACTTGGGTTATACCATCTTCCTGTGTCAGTTTTTTCCCCAAGTAGTAGTTTATCAGCTTAAACTGTGAGAAGAACATTGTGTTACCCTTTATCATTGGGAACTCTCCCCACTCATGTTCCCCCATAAAAGCTAAGTGCCTGTGGAGGTGCCGTCTGTTCCATAACTGACCAATCAAATGGATTAAAGGACTCAAAAAATTGTAACTCTCTGTTAGAGCTATCTGTAAAGGCAGATCTGGTACATTGTAGCAGGCTTGGGCTCCACACATGAGTTCATCCGAACAGCGTTTATTAAAAAGTCTTCCTTCCCAGCCCAGCTCGTCTCCAGTGATAGCGTTATTCTTCTAGTTGGAAAAAATGAAGTTCCTTCTTCTGTGCCCCGCTCTTCCTACCTATTGATCCTTAGATGCTGCTGATTCTCTCCTCCCTCTCTCTCCCTTTCTGTCTCTCCTGCCGTTTCTTTGCTGTAGGCTTATGTTGTCTCACTTTGTTCCCACTTCCCTGGTTCTGTCCAAGCTGATGTGTTGGAAAACATCCACTTCTCTGAAATTCATTCCCCTTCCTCATAATCTTCATAAACCTACTGTTGACTCAAAACGAGTTTGTGTTTCTTAGTTTGGCCTTCAGGGTTTTTTGTCATATCCTCATCTCAGACTGCCTTCCTGGTTTCTCTTGCAGGAATCGTCATTGCTATTTTGGGTGTTCTTCAAAAATTTTGCCTTATTAGCAACTCTCCTCCTTTATCAATTCTACCCATTTTTCTACGCTTACCTCGAGCATGGACAGCCTCCTTGTAAGGCTTTCCTTTGCTCATATGTGATCGTTCTTTTCTCTCCACTTAGTCACAGATTAACAAAGTGTCCAGCCTCTGGGAGCTAGGGCTATGATGATGAATACAGCCTTGTCCTTGTGCGTGCTGCCACCGCGTACTCTTCCTAGTGCTCACTTCACACGTACCCAAGTGTGGAATTGGGCTGGTGCCCGGCACAGCCACCGGCCTACTCGTTCATAGTCTCAAATGTTGCATTGGAAGTATTTTTTTATAATCAAATAAATAGTAAATTCCTTAAGGGAGAACAACTGCTATGTTTAGCTTTGACTCGTTTGTTTCCTCCTCTAAATTTAATTTCCCAGCATTAACTTTGACAGTAGTGCCGGTCAGCAAAAAGGTGTCAAGAGCATGTCTTCCTCTGACCACTCGAATCCCATAGTATTGGAGGTAATACCATATTTTCACTAGTTTCCCAACTGAGTAATCAAATTGTCCAGAAGAGAAAGTTCTTAATTGGTATTTTGTATGAGTTTATGAAGTATGTTTTGGATACCTGTTTTATTTTCCAAAGAGTGACTGGCACTCAGTAACTCGGCGCCGTTCTTAGGTGAAAGGTGGGATCTTCTGACGTCAGTGCTAATGGTGCTCACACTTCATTTACAGGTCTTCTTCCAGAGAGCAAAGCCCTGAGGACTGGATCTCCGGTGCCTACTTCATGATCAGGACTTCCAGTTAATCATTTATACGGAAGCAATTTTTGTGTGCCATTCACACTGGTCTTTTTAACATTGCTTTGAGCTTATTGCAGTATATGTATTGGGATTTTGCTGTACAATGGATGTAATTTTCCCTAAATACAGGTATGTGACAACAAGAGAAGTTGCTTATATGCAGTTCAAATTGTTCTATGTTAAAAATGCTGTTAAAAGATACAGCAGAGTTATCCTAGTACCTTTACCCCTTTACTTGAAACTTTAAGTCCTTTATAAAGACCATAGCAAGAAAACAGTGTACCTTTTTTTAAATTGCTGAATATAAAATGTTTGGAAATTTTAATTTTCTTTTATGTGTACATACTCATAAAGTATGGAGGGAATACAGCAAATCAAAACTAATTTTTTGTAGATAGCCATTACATTACTTTAAACTGTTACAACGCCAGTGTGTATTCTACGAAAGAGACTGGTTTCATAAATTAACTGATTTAAGAGTAGGTGCCGGTGTTAAACATTTTTTATAAAAAATAAATAAATTTTACGTAGTGAAATCTACAAAGTCTGTTTTGGAATTATTATAAATACCTTAGCCTTATTCTCTCATCTTCTCTCTTCCTGATTTCCCATTTAAAGGATTGCGCATACAAGCATATGGATGATGTATTTGATTATGCTCCTAAAAGGTGATATGCACCTTAGTTCTGTTAAATAGAATCTTTTCAAATGTACTAGAAGAAGCCTGTGCGAATCTGTCAATAGAATAGTAAAAACTGAATTCTTTTCCTAACTCTTCGAAGATTTAGTTAGGGCACAAGGTATCTATATGTTTATGATGCTTGTAAGAAGTACCTTCCCCTGACTTCCCCCATTTTTATTCATGACTATGTAAGAAAGCAAGAGGAAAAATAATCGTATCAGTAATAGTATTGGGAAATTTAAAAAGGAAGGACAAAACTGAGCAGCAGAATTACCGCAGTCATTTAAGTTTAAATTCTAAAAGCCCAAGGAAGACTATAGGGGAGGGTGGGTATTGTTTAACCTTTGGCCCCTGTGGTCCCTAGGGGCTTCACAGGTGGGCTTTAGCGGTCTATAAACTCCCTGAATTGTATTCTAAATTGTGCACATAAATCTTTTCCTGGGGTTAATTCTAGAAGAGATTTTAAACATTTTTCCTTACATCACAGAATAAAGGTACATACTAAACTAAGTTGACAGGTAATTGTAAAAATAGGTCAGTGGAATGTATATTATACTTTAATAGGAACTTTTTAAAAACAGGTAAGTGAAAGCTGAGTTCCTCTAAGTTCCCCTGTACTGTGGAAGAGCTAAATTGCTTCTATTGCCATGCACTAATTGTTCCGAGTTACTGATGAATTGCACAGCATAGTGGTGAAGGGCTTAGACAGGCTTTGGATCCAGATTAAGTAGGTTTAAATAACAGTTCTGCCAGTAACTGGCTTTAGAACCTTAAGCAAGTTAAATAACTCCTCCCTGCCCCAGTTTTCCCATCTGTAAAATGTGGGAAATAATGGTAGCTACTTCATAACTGAGAGTTCACTAAGTTAAACATGAAAAGAGCTTATTACAGGACCTGTACGTGAAGCTTGATGTCAGCTATGGTTGCTGTACTATTAATTCCATATATGTAAAGGTGACACTTTTTCCCCTGGCTTTTTAAAGCCCTTGAGAAGATTCACATGTGTTCAGAGGTAAGAGAAATCAGGAAATGGAAATTATGAGTCTGTGATAAAAATTGAACTTCCTGTTACATAGTCACATATAATAGTTGCCATCTCATTCCCTGAGGTTGCCAGAGCACTTTACTTAGGGAGGACCACAGCAATTAGGAAACTGTTCCATCATGAATCACCTTATTTGTATTGTACTTCGTCTCCAAGAGCAAGCACCCAAATAATTGTCTGAAGGGTGAATCTCACCTGTTAACAGGTAAGATCACTGAGGCAGAAAACTTAGGGATTTGTGTGACTTGACTGTGGAACCACAAGGGTTTGGTGAGGCCTGGCCTAGTTCTGGGCCTAACAGTTTATTTAAATCTTAAATGCTAACATTAATTGGTTCACAAATGGCCTGACCGTTGAACAAGTACTGTGGTATTTCAGCGTGCATCTCTCGTTAGGTGGTAAACGTGTGAATCAAGGCCTCTGGCACATTTTCTCCCGTGCAACTGAGCTGCGGGTTTTACTGTCCTCAGGAACTTGTCTTCGCATTAGACACGGGAGAACTGAAATTGGTTGGAAATAGACGCAGTGAACAGATTTGTTGTTAGAAGCGCTTCCATCACTTAAGCATTGTTTCAATGTCTAACAAAGTAACTTCCTTTGTAACTACGCATTCCAGCGGCTCTTCTCTCTATTGCGCATATGATACAAAAGGCTTAGAGAGGGACAAAAAACAAAAAACCTTGCTTGGAGTCAGGACTTGGCGGGGAGAGCTGGGACTGCCCCCCAGGCCTGTCCCGTTGGAAAGGCTCTGCTCGCCGCTCCGCCGCGGGCCCCGCTGCATCGCTGGTCGCCGTTCTCTCCGGGGAAGAACGCCCGTCCTCTTCCTGCCCCGACACGGGGCCTCGGTCGACCGGCAGGAGTCGCCGTCCTCCCGTCCAGAAGGGCGGCAGCGCCGCCGACGGGCAGCAGGACCGCTCCAGGCGCAGCCCAGCGCTCTGAGCGGCGCGGCCCCTGCGGGCGCCGATGTCCGTCCTCAAGTTCCCCGGGACTGCCATTTCCCGCAACCCCGCCTGCGGGAGCGAACCGAGCGCGCGCGCCCCCACCGAGGACTTCCCGTCGGAATTATTCGGAGGCGTCATCTGGCTCCCCGGCAGCCCACGTGGTCTTCAGATCTATCAGTCCCCCGGGCCAGGTCATTCCCCAGGGTCGGCCCTCGCGCGTCCAGCGTCCTGCGCACCTGCGGTCCCTGGACCGTTCGTCACCACGCGTCCTGGGTGGCCTTCCTCGCAGCCCCCGCTCCGTCCCGCCTTCGCTAGCGGCGACGCGGCGGGATCTGCGGCCGTGGGAATCGGCACCCGCGTCCGTGGCTCCGCCCGGCTCCGCCCGCAGAGTCAGGGTCAGGCCGAGGGTGTGGCCGGGCGGGCCCCCGGACACGCCCCCTCCGCGCCCTCGCCCGCAGGCTCGGCGTCCGCCGCCGCAGCGCTGGCCTGGCCGGGGCGGGGGCTGGGCCGGGCGTGCGCACGCGCACCGCACCCGCGCGCCGCCGTGGTCACGTGGCCCCGCCGGGGGCTCGGGAAGCCGGAAGTGTCCCGAGGCGCCAGGAGGCCGGTGCCCGCTGGGGTGCTGCGGAGCGCCGGGACCCCGCGCGGTGAGTCGGCGCGGGCGGAGGGGCCGGGGGCGGGCGCGCGGGCTGAGCCGGGCCGGGCCGGGGCCGCGCCCGCCCCCGCGGGAAACGGTGCTGAGTCAGAGCGGAGCGGGGGCGGGGCGCGCCAGGGCCGAACGCACGGGACCCTGGGGGGCGGGCGCTCCCCGGAGCCCGCGCGTCCCGAGCGGGCGGTGTGGGGCGTCCTGGCCCCTCGGCGGACCCCCGGCCGCCGCCCTCCGCCCGGGCCCTCCCGACTCCCGGGGCGCTGCGGGCAGAAAGGATGTGCCCTCGCCGGGCTGGGGACGGGCGTGTTGACCACCCGGGGCCGCGCGGCGGCACGATCGCAGCTCTTAAATCGATCGATTGGTTTTCCGGATGAGTGAAAAGGGACGTTTCCTTAGGGTTAGTGGTGATAGCGGCGGGGCTTGGCTCACCGGAAGCTGTAAGCTGAAGACGTCTTTAATATTCACATAGATGATGCAAATTCCCAAACGTTTTTCAGGCGGGGGGGAATGGCTTACAGGTTTATTTTCCATTTCCCAGGTGTTTTCAGTAGGTGGCCTCGAAACAAGTTCTATGCAGTAATTGTCCAATGCATAACCAAAGACCGAGTTCCTTCGCTCTAGAACACTGAATATAAAATATAACATCTGTGTAACAAATGATTCACATAGTGGTAGAGTTTGGAAATCTTGGAACTTTGTTCGTGTGCCATGTCACCAGACCTTTTTTTCTTCTGTGAACGTATAGTGACTTTCGTTTTGGACGATATAAGGAAGTAGACGTAAGGCAGGGTCAGCAGGAGCCTACTTGTTGAGCGCCTCCTATACCGTGTCAGAATTTCGAGAGGATGTATATCGCAGGCACCTTGTGCGCGTGCTGAGTCATGTTTTGACACGCTGTTGTTGTGGGGTTATTGGAAGATAGTTTCAAAAAATGTTTCTCCTGATCATTGTGAAACCGTAGTTTTGTATCTACATATAGAGAGCACATATCTTAGATGAATGTTTATATCATCCACTAGGTACCGATGGGTACCAAATGATACTATTTGCCGTTTACAGTTATCTCAAACAGCAAAGTTACATTTGGAGAAGGTTTTTCATTATTGAAAAATATTTGAAAATATTATTGAAAAGATATTTGAGATGTTTGTGGTCACTTCAGTAGCTGACAAGTGTAAATATATGTTCCAGATTTTGAAAAAGAAATCTTATTTTTATTGGTTATTTCCAGTAAGTTGCTGTATGTAAAATTCCTTATGTGAATTAGATGAGTAGTAAAATTCTATAAGTATGTCTTAGTATATCAAAGATTGGTGAAATTTAGACCCCTGGCTGTTCTTTGTGTTCCTAACCCTACTTGGAATACTGACAGTCGCTAGTTCATCACTGAATACCTAGTCCGTTCTAACTTACTGTGAAGGAATATTAAGGTCTCTTTTACTCTGACGTTACAGTAGGTTAAAGGTGGCACGGTGGGACAAATGTTTATGCTATTTAGTATACGTACCTCATTTTTATTCCAACATGGAGCTCAAATATTTCTAATATCCTTATAGTTGTATAGCTTTTCAGTATTAAAGGACCAGGGTAGCGGTGATGCTTTTTTTGGTATATATAGACTTTATATTTAGAGCAGTTTTAGGTTCGCAGCAAAATTGAGCAGAGGGTATAGAGATTTTTCCCTGTGTCTCCTGCCCCACTCATGCATAAGCTTCCCTTGCTCATTTTTTTAAGACTTGGTGATATATACTTGGTATGTATATTTATATACTTGGAGGTTGGAGAAACGATCCTTAAGTTAATTTCGGAAAGGTTAGTGACCTTCCAGGAATAACGATTTTGCACCTTTCCGTTATGATTGTCAGGCTCCGTGCAGACGAAATTTTAAGTTCGGAAAGTGTGATTCTGTGGCAACAGTTGTTCTTGTTAGTGTTGCCCTGCCCCTGAAGGCAACAGAGTAATTTTGTGTATATTTCTGTTATATTTTACATTATTACTTTATTTTAGAACACTTGAAAATGTTGCTTAGTCTTTCCAAACAGTTGAAGGAGGTAAGTAGCCGGTATCACTCTCTTTGCCAAAGACAAAATTAGAAGGGAAATAGATATTTTTTCAGGCCTGCGATGAGTGAATTAAGATGAGTATATAAGATGGCATTGGTTAATGTTTGTCAGAGCCCACACAGCGTGTTAGCCTTAGATATTGCTGGAAACTTAGATTTTTACATTGAACTGTTGGTATACTTCGATTTGGTAATAAATAATGGGTGATCTTACTGGAGACTAAAAATAGCTAGCATTTGTTTCTTAAATGTGTTATTCTCTTCGAATAAACAGGCACGTTTTGTCTTTTCTCTTAGTGTAACAAGAGGACCGCCTGCCCAAGCCGAGATGCAGAGCACTTCTAATCACCTCTGGCTCTTGTCGGATATTTTAGGCCAAGGAGCTACTGCAAATGTCTTTCGAGGAAGACATAAGGTTGGTGCAGAGAAACTGTGAAGGCTTGTTATCGCTGTGTATGTACCTTTCAGAGAGGCACACTTGTACTAAAATGCGAGGCCTGGTGGTTTTGATGATTTTGTCTAACGGGAATACCTGTTTTTGTGGTTGTTTAAGGTATGGCTTGTGTCAGGGGCACTGATAGCTACCCAGTGGCGCCAGAGGTTATGTGTTGGGGAGTGGAGAAAAACAAGAGGTTGGTTGAAACAGGAAGTGGGAACGATTAGTGTTGTGGCTTCTGATTCTTTCCCCTCCTGGCCCTCCCGTGGTGAGTGATGTCACTCACAGAAGTTCAGTGTGGCAGTGATTTGGGGTAGTGAGGAGTAGAGGAGGCGGAGGTGTGTTTGGAGGGGAACCCACAGGTGATTCTGGTATGCTGTCCTGAGGCTCCATGCCCCCAGTACAGCAGCGTCCTACAAGCTAGATTGGAGTACAATGAGGTTATCAGTAAGGGGTGCAGGTTTAAAAGACTGTACTGATATGAGGTAATCAGAGTTTGTTAGTGGAAGTGAGACTAGAAAAGGGCTAATCCCAGAGGCACTTCACGGACCAAAAAGATTTTGTGTTAGTTTCTATATTGGAGGATGAAATTAAAGATAATTAAAATAATTTAAAATAAACTAAATTAACATAAGTACAGTATACAACTGTGTGCTAGGGGGTTTGGGGGAGAAGAAGAAATAAAAGATGATTGGCAACAGATGTTAGCTCAGGTGCCAATCTTTTAAAAAAAAAATTAAGACCATTAAAGTTTCTGTTCTGGGAAGGAAGCTGGAAAAATAGTGGAATAAAAAATCATTTTATAAGGCAAATAGTCATCCTCTAATTTTTCAGCACTGTGAATTTGTTTTGAGCTAATGATGTTTGGAGCCCCCTAAATTCTTATTTTCAGAAACAGGAGCTCTAAACGTTCTGTAAGGAGGAGTTCCTTCCTGTTTTCCTGTAGCCTTGAGCTTGCCGGGCAGGGCCGTCCGTGACAATGAGATGGGCGTCGAGGGAGGAGGGCTGTTTCCTCTGGGGAAAGATTATGACCATTGACAGCCTCTGTGGCTCATAGAGGAGGAATCAGAAGTGTCATCGGACAGCTTTTAGCTTTTGTTCCTCCCCTCTGGTTCTAGGATTGTCCACAAGTTCTGGATCCTTGATTAAATTCATTGTCATCAACCTTGGATATTCCTGTCCTAGAAATTGTTTTTGTTTTGTGCCCTGTGCCAAGAAGAAGAGAAAACGGGTGACAACACAGGATTTAGCAGTGAGAATAAACGCATCTGACTGGGCTTCTGTTTTACTGGGGCCCAGATTACCGTAACTAGCTGTAATCATTGCTTGGTTTGTGTCGGGCGCTGTGGTGGACCTGGGGACCTTACTACAAGTAATATGCCCTTCCTGCCCACAGACAGTCTGGGTTTAGCAGCAGGGTGGCATTGGAAGGGACCTAAGAGGGAAGCTGATGGAGTGACAGGTAGTCAGTAGCCGTAGAGAGGGGTAAGGCGTATTTGAAGTGCCTGGCAGCAGTAAATGATTCACATATTCTGGTCTTCTTTCCTTGCTTAGACACCCAGTGTCCTTCATGTCAGTGCTTACATGTAACATGTGCTCTGTAAACATTTGTTGAATGAAAGAGTAAATGAGTGAATGAGGGCAGGGTAGACTGCCCTACTAGAACCTGAAGTTCTTCCAAGGAAACAAAAATGTGCTTTATCCAGTAGGGTTTGAAAGCCGAGAATAGAGATTTGAGAGGCATAAGAATTGGCCTAAAAGATTGCTGAGACCCAGGTTAGTATTCGGTCCCTAACAGTCTTCCCAGGGCTGTGTTTCGAGAAACCATGCTTGTTCTCAGTGACATCAATTTCAAGGGTTTAGGACTATACCCAAAAAGTCCTGCTTGCCCTTAATAACTGTTTAAGGGTTTTTACCATGATATTGGCTAAACCTTTTTATGTTATCACTTAGAATGACCAGGTCCCTAAGTTTACTATCTGTTGTTCAAAGTGTATTAGTAGTCTCCCCTTGTCTGCACTTTCAGTTACCTACAGTCAACCGTGGTCTAGAAATATTAAATGAGTGAGAGAGAGAAGGAGAGAGGCCACATGCATCTAACTTATTGCAGTGTATTGTTATAATTGTTCTATTTTATTATTAGTTATTGTTAATCTCTTACTGTGCCTAATTTATAAATTAAACGTTATCATAGGGGTGTATGAAAAAAACGTATATGCAGGGTTTGGTACTATCCGCAGTCTCAGGCATCCACTAGGGATCTTGGAACATATCCCCTATGGATAAGGGGGGACGACGGTATCTACTTAATCCATCTCTTTTCCATTAAGTTGCATTTAGCTACTGATGTGGGTAGATGGGTATGAATGTGTGTGATAACCATGGTGAAGAAAGGGAAGAGAGCTGTAGGAAGGAAATGTTGATGTGCATGTGTTGTGTGTGTCTGTGTGTGTGTGTGTAGATGCCCATGTAGATCTCTAAATATTATTCGTATCTGCTTTGACTTAGGGCCAGTGAATGCTAGGTGACTGTGCAGTTGAAACAAGGGCAAAGAGTATCTCCTCGCACGTAGCCCAGTAATCTCGCAGGTGTAATGTAGACGGCAGAAGTTTGGAAAATGCTGGCCTTGATCATGGTGGGAACATTGCAACCGTGTACCATGTTCCCTACTTGCTCCTCTGTTAAGATTCTTCTAATTTTAGACCAAGTTTGAGACAAGTGTCCTCAAGAAAAATCTCTCTATTGGGTGGTATAGATTTGGCAGTGTCCTCACCCTGGCTGAACAAATGGAAAAACAGTGTAATTAAGCTGTAGTTAAACTGTTGTTCTGTTTTCGTGTTGTCTGAAAACGTCAGAGGCTCTTTTCCTCTGGAAAGAACGTGTCTGTATTTGCTGTGGGGGGTGGGGCGGGAGGGAGGAGTGGTCACATCGCTCAGATGGCGGGTCTCCAAACCGTGATCTTGAAGAGTGAGACCAGGAAGGAGTTCAGTGGGTTTAGGAAGAAGATCCCAAGATTCCGAGGTCGAGAGGAGGAGGGTGGTGGCTGTGAGTGGTGGGTCTGTGTGGAGAGCTGTGGAGAGGGCTTCTGAGGAAGACCACCGCAGAGCTCCCGACAGACACACAGCCATGAACTGCTGTTACGCAGGAGGTGCTGGAACCCTAAGCTCAAAGAGGAAATGATCTTTCCACTCACTCCAGGGAAGGTCAGCCTTGGATTACGGGAAAAGTAAGATGAAACTCAGAATCTGGGCTGAGCGAGTGGAAGGAGGTGGGAGGGTCTGGAAGAGAGCCTGAAAGTGAGCTTCAGATGAAGAACACGAGGATGTGCCATTGACCTGGACCTAAGCGTGTCTTTTGCGCCTCTGGGGTTCCCTCCCAGCTCCGGCTGTGCGTTGTGATTGTGTGTGTGATCTCCTTCAGTATGCCATGAGAGGGAGAATGGGCGTGCTACAGTACATCGGTAGAGAAAAGCCATCGTCTTTGGTCCTCTAGACATGGTCTGTGAGGTGACAGTCTGCGCTGCTTCTTCAGGTGAAGTTGCAGAAAGTCCCCAAGGTGCGCGGAGCAGCCCGGCAAGGTCAGCCCGCTTCAGCCTCCTCTCCACTCCCACTTCTGCACGCGCCTTATCGCAGCTGGGGAAGAGGTCCGAAGGTTTTAATTGCAGTACTTTGAGGTTCTAACTTAAAGTTTCACATGTGGAACATACTTTTCAATCTCTCTTTTCCTGTTTTGATTAATCTAAATCTCTTAGGCCCTGGAGAAGCCCTTGTGAGTTTCACTTTCTATTTCTTAGAATATCTTTCACATTCCGGGCTGTTAGAGCTCTTATCTTCTGATGTGGAAATGACTGTCTGCCACATGTATCGTAATAGAAGCTTTATTTGTAATATGAAAGAAAATAGCCTTTTCTGCCTTCCAAAGCATACAATTTGAAAGAAATATTGAGCAGTTGATTGATTGATTTTAGCTTTTAAAAAAAGTCAGGGGTGCTAGTACAAATTACCTGTGCTTAAGAATATTCAGCGAGTTTTATAAGAAAGCTAGATTGCTATAGCTGCTTCTCATGGCACCGTTTTATCTTCTTCATGGTATTGTAAATAAATAAAACCTTTCTCTCTATTCTTTTTTTAGAAAACTGGTGACTTGTTTGCTATCAAAGTGTTTAATAACATAAGCTTCCTTCGTCCAGTGGATGTTCAAATGAGAGAATTTGAAGTGTTAAAAAAACTCAATCACAAAAATATTGTCAAATTATTTGCTATTGAAGAGGAGGTAAGTAGTTAAGCTTTAGTTAATTTTGATACATTTATTATAGTTATTACAATTCAGGAGAAATAATCTGATATAAAACATTGTTTTATAAACAGTGAGTTTTTTTTAATGTGAAAATTAGGGCTCATACAACCAACTATTCTGTTCTGTAAGGTTTTTGAATAGACATACAATGGAAATAAAGTATCATGGAATCAGAGAAAGTAGTATAGGAAATAAAAGAATTTAGAATATGCTTACCAGTATTATTACTAAAAAAAAATAAATAAATGAAGTTAAATTGACATAATTATAAAAGGAACAAGGAGGAAGTCAAACAATACAAAAAAGGCGTTGTAAAAGAATGAAAATCCTAGGAATCCAGAGATTAATATGTGAAGTCCAACTGTAAAAGATAGAACTGACTTTAGGGGGAAACAGCAAAAGGAAGAATGTCATTAGGAAAATTAACTAGAATTAATGGAAATAGAAATCTATTTTAATCCCTTTATAATGGGTAATCAATAAAATCACACCTTTTGAAAAACAATGTAGCAGTTTCTACTCCTTAAATAGTGATTTCATTTTTAGTGATTACTTCTTCGGAAGTAATCGGAAATGTAGATTATAGTTCTGTGCACAAAGGTGTTCATCGCTGCCCTGTTTATGGTAAAGAATGATTAAATAAGTTGGAGGGTGTGATGGATAGTTACCCCGCATTAGCTGCACTCGAGGTTAGGCGCACAGCTCTCTGGACTGCTGAGTCTGCTCAACGCTTCTGACGCCAGCTGCGGAGGGATTTGGCAAACTGCACCGTCAGAGAAAACAGTCCCCACCAGGCTGTGCTCGTTCAGACACTAGCTGCAAGTTCAGGAGTCCCCAGGGCTACCTTCACTTCAGACCAGCTCCCTACAAATTTAGGACTTCCCGTGCCTGCTTTCAGATTTGATAATTTGCTAGAATGTTGAATGACTCACAGAACTCAGGAAAGCACTATACTTACAATTACAGTTTTGTTCTAGCAAGAGGATGCAAATGAGAGCTAGCCAAAGGAAGAGATCCATAGGGCAGCATATGGAAGAGTTCCAGACATGAATCTTCCTTGTCCTCAGGGACACGTCACCCTCCTGGCCTTGATGTGTGACAGTACACATAGAGCATTGCCAGCCTTGGAAGCTCGCCTGAGCCTTTGGTCTCCAGAGTTTTATTGGGGCTTGATCACATGCTGCCTCCGTGGCTGACCATTAGTCTCCAGCCCTTCCCAGAGGTTCGGGCTCATACCTTTAGCCCCCATTTCCTCCGAAAGTTGGAACAGATATGCATGTCTTAAAACCCCATTGTAGCTGGCCCCGTGGCCGAGTGGTTAAGTTTGTGTGCTCCACTTGAGGGGCCCAGGGTTTCACTGGTTCGGATCCTGGGTGTGGACATGGCACCACTTGTCAGGCCACGTTGAGACGGCGTCCCACATGCCACAACTAGAAAGACCCACAACTAAAATATACCACTATGTACTGGGGTGATTTGGGGAGAAAAAGCAGAAAAAAAAAATAAGCTATTAAAAAAAAAACCCATTGTAAATCACAAGGCCAACACCCCTAGACAAACTTCTAGCAAACAGGACATTCCAGAGGCCTGGGAGTCACCGCCCAGGAGTCAAAAGCAAAGGCCAGACCTCTCTTTGGGTAAAATTAATTCTTCTCTACACAGTAGTTAAGCAGCAATAAAAAAGAAATATTTACCACAGTTATAATCACCTGGGAACATGCTTATGTATAATGTTATGTGAAAAAATCAGGATTGAAAATATTATGCAGGGGCCAGCCCCGTGGCCGAGTGGTTAAGTTCGTGCACTCCGCTTCGGCAGCCCAGGGTTTCACCGGTTCGGATCCTGGGCGTGGACATGGCACCGCTCATCAGGCGATGGTGAGGTGGCGTCCCACATGCCACAACTAGAAGGACCCACAACTAAAATATACAACTATGTACCAGGGGGATTTTGGGAGAAGAGGGAAAAATGAAATCTTTAAAAAAAAAAAAAAGTTGGAGATGAATACTGGATTTTAAGACTCATATTCACATTTTCAAATTTCTGAACACGGCATGTATCTTATAATCAATGTGATAGTTGGCAATATTTCTGTTTCCCTATAAAGCTGTTGTTAATAATGTATTTTATAATCAGTGGAACATTAAATTCAAGGTTTAAAATAAATCAGCAGCTCAGATGCAAACGAGTGGACTAGAACTTTGCTGCAGGAGGGACCACTGAGCTCTCCTGCCACCTGTTTGTTTTTAAAGCTAGAACTCTGTTCCTTGGAGTAAAAGTACCTTTCATGAGAAGAATCTCTTGTTTTAAGAGATTTGTTAGAAGACCTAGTGTCCTAAATGTACTATTATGTATTGGAAATTAAAGGTAATTTTTAAAGAACTGTTATAACATTGTAGCAAGGATTTTCTAGTTCAGATTTAGCCAGCTTTCTCTGTGGTTTGATTGTCTTCAAAAACAAATCCAATTTAAATAGGAATTTACAAGATATTGATTCTTATATGTGTATAGTCAACAAATATTTAAAGAATTCCACGTAAAGCAATTCAAAGTGCCTTCATCATTGTGGTAATTCTACCTTTAAATGAAATCAGTTAAGTCCTGGCATATAATAAACATTTATTTTTTATATTGAGTCCTAATCAGTTATTTTTTTTCCAGACAACAACAAGGCATAAAGTACTTGTTATGGAATTCTGTCCATGTGGGAGTTTATACACTGTCCTAGAGGAGCCGTCTAATGCCTATGGACTGCCAGAGTCTGAATTTCTGATTGTTTTGCGAGATGTGGGTATGTTTGTTTGTTTGTTTATATGATTTTATATATGTGTGTATGTATAATTTAATGATATAAGAACTTTAAAAAGTAAATTTCTTAACATTCAGAACCAAAGACCTTTACACAGTGCTTTCTTAGATATAACACTAAAAGCACAAGTACAAAAAGAAAAAAAATAGATAAATTGGACTTCACCAACATTAAAAACTTTCGTGTTTCAAGGGACAACATCAAGTAAGTGAAAAGACAGGCCATGGAATGAGAGAAAATATTTGCAGATCATATATCTCATAAAGAATTTTTATCTCAATAACTCAACAATAAAATGACAATTCTATTTAAAAATGGGCAGAGGATTTGATAGACCTTTCTTCAAGGAAGATATGCAAATGGCCAACAGCACATAAAAAGATGTTCAGGATCGTTAGTCATTAGGGAAATGCAAATCAAAATTACAGAGAGATACCACTTCGTAACCACTAGGATGGCTAAAGTCAAAAAGACAAAACAAAAGTGTTGGCGAGGATGTGGAGAGTCTTGAACCCTCATAAGCTGCTGGTGGGATTGTAAAAACATACAGCCGCTTTGAAGAACAGTCTGGCAGTTCCTCAAAGGTCACATAGAGAATTATCATATGACTTAGCATTTCTTTTTTTTTTTTTTTAAGATTTTGTTTTTTTCCTTTTTCTCCCCAAAGCCCCCTGGTACATAGTTGCATATTCTTCGTTGTGGGTCCTTCTAGTTGTGGCATGTGGGATGCTGCCTCAGCGTGGTCTGATGAGCAGTGCCATGTCCGCGCCCCGGATTCGAACCAACGAAACACTGGGCCGCCTGCAGCGGAGCGCGCGAACTTAACCACTCGGCCACGGGGCCAGCCCCTGACTTAGCATTTCCATTGCTGTGTATTTACCTGAAAGAATTAAAAACATCCACACAAAAACTTGTACATCAGTGTTCATAATAGCCAAAAAGTAGCAACAGCCCAAGTGTCTGCCAGCTGATGAGTAGACAGAATGTGGTGTATCCATACAGTGGAATACTGTTTATTCATAAAAAGAAACAAAGTAGTGGTCCATGCTATATGGTGGATGCCCCTCTAAAAGGATGCCAGGTGAACGAAGCCAGACACAGAAGACCGCAGTATTTACAGAAAACGTCCGGAATTGGCACGTTCCTGACGACAGAGAGTGGATTCGTGGTTGCCAGGGGTTTGAGGGGAGGACAGAGTTGAGTGACTGCTAATGGGTGTGGGTTTCTTTTTGGCATAATGAAAATATTCTGAAATTAGAGGTGATGGTTGTACACTCTCTGACTCTTCGACTCTACTAAAAACTACTGAATTGTGTCCTACTTGAAAAGGATGAATTTTGTGATGTGTGAACTTTATCTCAATAAAGCTGTTATTTTTAAAAAAAGAATATGGCAACCAAGGGGAACAATATCTGAATCAATAGATTTATAGAAGTGAATTATTATTTGAGGAATAGGAAAAGCCAGGTGATAAAGAAGATTTAAGGTTAGTGGGAGTCCTTCAACTTGACGCTGGAGGCCGTGTGGAGACCATGTAGGTGAGGGCAAGATGAAAGAAGCAATGTGTGCTACAGCCTGTTTAATCGAATAGAAGTTATGGGTAATTGCGCCTTCCTCAGTGTGCTGGGAGTCCTGAGTTTTCATAATTGAATGTTGATACCCCTGACCTTTTTTTCATATGTTATATTTGGATATTCATCTATCAGCTGTCAAACAAACGTTTCCAGCCATCACTCAGTGATGCTGCCTGTTAGCCAAAACAACTTCATCTCAGCAGTGTGGCCACCTTTGCCCTTAAAAGAAAGGGGAGAGGGGACGGCCCTTTGAGAAGAGCATTAAAGCATATGAGAAGTGTATTTTTATGGAAACGAGTGTGATGTTTTGCCTCTTTCTATTACTTTCTTACTATTTTATGTATTGAGTCTAGTTTACTTTTTTGTGGAATTTTTTCCAAAGGTAAAGAAATGTAAAACTGGGGTGAAAGATTGATATCTTTCTTGGGAATCTTTATTCTTAAGTTTAGGCAGATTGCCCACATGTGTATGACCAAAAATAATCCAGCAAGTCATATGGTTAAGACCATTTTGTTCTTTTTCCTGATAGTATTTAAGAGAGATTGAACTCTTCCTTAGACCATATGGATCTTGTCATTCTGAAACTCCTTGTTACTCTAACATGAGATATAAAATATAAATACTGTCTGTTACTCCTTTGATTAAAATGACTTTGGACCAACTTATGAAAAATTAACAATGAGTGAATATGAATGAATTATATGAATGAATTTGACACCCACAGACAGACACACAGATACCTACATTTTAATTTCCTTCGTTTTATATTTATTGTTGAAGTGGGTGGAATGAATCATCTCCGAGAGAATGGCATAGTGCACCGTGACATCAAGCCAGGAAATATCATGCGTGTGATAGGGGAAGACGGCCAGTCTGTGTACAAACTCACAGATTTCGGTGCAGCTAGAGAATTAGAAGATGATGAGCAGTTTGTTTCTCTGTATGGCACAGAAGAATACTTGGTAAGTCGTGCGTCACTAATAATTTTATTTAAAAAGCAAGATATATTGTAAACATGGGTAATTGGTCAACCAATTCAGTATAAAATGTCATGTAACTTTTACAAGAAAAATTAAATTTTCTCTTCTAGTGCATGTGCTTTGTAATGGAATTAGGTACTGGTTTTTAAGGGTGCTGTTATTTTTCTGTTAAAAATTGTTACAAGTTTTATAACATTTTTAAATTCTTTAACTTTACTAATGTTATGGCTCTATATTAAAAGAAAAAGCTATCTATACAGTCCAGAAGCATCTGGCTGGTAAAGTCTCCCTTTTGTGGATCAGAGCAGTTAATTATTTCAAGTTTGTTAGAATACTGTTCCCTGTAGAGAAAAATTGATTCTAATTCGGAAGCAGGAGGTTCTGTTCAGGGAGGTCGGTTATTGAAAGACAGACAGGACCGTTGTTAGAAACACACACAGAAAGTGAAATGCCTTGAAGCATCTAACTTGAAATGCCGGAAGGCTGGAAAAGCTCTGTGGTCGAATCGGTTGCTGCCGATGTGTGTGTGTGAAGTTAGTAAACATTTGAAACACTTGAGAAGATATACTTCCAAGTAAGTGCAGGTAACACGTGGTCAGGAAGTTTATAATACATGGTCATCACTAATTGTTCAGGGCGGTGCATTTTCTCTTACAAGTCTTAGATTCTGTGACTTTTTTCCAACTGAACTCTGCCGTTGTAATCTTATAACATAAAAAGTAAAGTTTAGGTGCCCCTATGACTTTATTCAGATGATTCCAAGTCTGGCGTGGATTAAGGTGTCATAAATTGTTCTGTCATTAGATAACCCCAAATTAATTTGTAGCTATATTTTAATAATCTTTTAATAAGTATACGTAAGAATGGATTACATGCATCCTGCAAATATTCATGGAGTACCTACTCTACCAGGCGCCGGGACCACCATGGTCAACCAGATGCACATGATTCCTGCGCTTATGGAGCCCACATTCCGGGGGGAAAATAGTTCATGAGGAAACTAGTAAATAATATGAGTTTAGGTAATTGGAGTGTCGGGAAGACAACAGCATGATGAGATAAAGCGTGACTAGCAGGGGAAACATAGCTAGGGAAAGCCTCCCTTCAATTCTCATGCGCTGACGCTTCAGTGATAAAAAGAAGCAAGCTGTGCACGGATTTGGGAGCAGAATAGCAACTGCAAAGGCCTCGGAACAAGAATGACCTTGAGTGTTGGACAAACAGAAAGGATGGCAGTCTGGTTGGAGTTTAGTGCGCTAAGGGGCAGGTGGTAGGAGTTGGGACTGGAGACGTGAGCAGGGGCCAGCCCGGCCACACAGGCTGTATGATCACCCCGTTTATAGGAAAGCTTTTGCAGTGTTCCCTTCAGTATCTGGAAATGAAATTCTTAGATAATATAACCAACCTGCATACCTAATTAAAAGAATAACATAGTATCTCAATAATAATATAAAGGAAAGTATTATAAGATTGTAGGTATTTAACATGTAAGAGTTTAGGAGCGACTTCACTGCTGCGCAGAGTAATGAGAGGCTCGCACCTACGGGTAATGTCACTTCCATCGCAAGCGCACTGATAACTGGTGTGTCCTGTTAGTGACTCACGTTCCACAAGTGGTGCTGGTGTCGCTGACGTGATTTTCCAAAGCAGTGAATAATTCCCGGTAAAGTTTCTAACTTAACAAAGTAGATTTACATATAGCTGCGTTCTTGTAGCTACAAAAATACTTTATGTTTATATGTATAAAAGAGATCGTTATAAACAGACTTCTCACCTGCACAGATATCTGGCAGGATATTCAGAAGTCATGAAAAGCTTATTTTGCAGAATTGTCCCCCATCTCTGGTCTCCGCCCACTAAATACCACTACCCACCCCCCCCCAGTGCCGTAATGACCAGCATACACAAACAGTGGCCCTGGACCAGCCTTCATAAGGTTGATCCCCCACTGCCAACTGATACTCCTCTTTCACACATCCTCCTGGCACCACAATTTAGCTTTTGCCTCTAGCAGGCTTTTAAAATGGAAAGAAGAAAGCATTAAGTAAATTAACCCCAAGTCCATGCTGTACTCTAGGCTGATATTTTGTGCTAATCTATTTCCTATTGCAGATTATGCCCAGCCCTGTTTTCAAATACAATGCACCAAAAGTTATGAAATGAGATAAATAATAGTCTGAAGTTTAGCAATCTAGAAATATTCCCGTATTTAAGTGAAAACTTTTCTCGTTTTGGAATTCCCAGGCCAGATGTTAAATCATATTTCCCTTGTGTGTTAAAGTCAAAAAAAAACTTCAGCGTCCTTCCTTCCACGATTTTTTTTCTTTTGAGGAAGATTACCCCTGAGCTAACTGCTGCCAAGCCTCCTCTTTTTTTTTTTTTTTTTTTTTGCTGAGGAAGACTGGCCCTGAGCTAACATCCATGCCCATCTTCCTCTACTTTCTATGTGGGATGCCCACCACAGCATGGCTTGCCAAGCGGTGCCATGTCTACACCCGGGATCCAAACTGGTGGACCCTGGGCCACCAAAGCATAAGGTGCAAACTTAACTGCTGCACCACCCGGCCGGCCCCTCTTCCACCGTTTTTAATATCTTGCATCTCTTAATAATATAATCTGACAGGCAGGGATACGCACCACTGTACTAACGAGGACAGGCACTTATAGTCTGAGAACTTTCCTGTAGCTTAGTCTTTACGTGTCTGTTCCAGATGCAGAGGCTCAGACCCAATAATGCCAAGCCCTGCATGAGCACAGGTACACGTTCAGAAGAGAGTCAGTGGGCGCAGATATGTCAAGCTACCATCAGTCAGTGACTCCCTAGGGAACGCCTTCCAGCTACACCAGTTAGGCAGTGTATTACTGCACCTTTTGAGGAGGTCCCCCCTCTGTCTCCTTCTAGAATCGCTGTGCTGCCTCTTCCCAGGTTGGTGGCCTCATATTCCGGAAGATGTCAGGCCTGTCCAGGTACTCTAGGCCTATTCACAGCACCATTTATACACTGAATACCAGCGGCCAGGTCAGAGGTCTGGCTGGAGCTGCTTTGGACAGTACTTCCTTTATGTGCTATGCCACAGAACCGGCAAAACCACTCAGACCCCAGCTGTCTGGTGGGCCTATGTTTGGACACTCACTTCAAATGCCCCATGCTTATCACCTCTTCTGATTTCCCATTAAAATGTATTTCCCCAACGAGTCCCACCCGCCCCCAAAAAATCCAGGAACGGTGACCCTTTGGGAGTCAGATTCATAGACTGCGTCATTTAGACGCACCCTCCCAGCAATGTTACCTGCGTTGGTTCCCAGGCCTTTGGGCCACAGCCAAATACCACAGTGTCCTAAGGCGTTGTTTTGGTTTGAGATCATTTGGGTGATGACTCTTCTTGGGTCCAGAGTACACTCTTGTAGCTTTATCTTCCAAGAATCTTAAAGTTCCAATGCATAACTTCCATAAAGGCAGGTGTCAGCAGGCTGAGCATTTGTGACCCCTGGTGGTTCTCTGCAGAGCTAGAGGTCGGCCAGAATCTCTGTCTGGGTCTGCTGGCTCCTCACCCATGTCCGACAGGAGCCATCTGTTCTCGCAGCTGTGGTATAGCGTCCTCTGTGCTTCAGGACTTGCGTTTATTATCCGACTAGCTGCTTACCGCGTCACTAGCTCCCAGGGAACCCAGTCAGGCTAATCCTCTGAATTAATTCTAGAAAATTTAATTTTCATCTCAGACTCCATATGACTTGCTCTGATGGGTTGCATGTGAGGGAGGAGGGAAAGGAATTAAGGCTGCTTGATAGGTTTTGGGTATGAGCAACTGGATAGATGATGGTACTCTTTACTTAGAGGATAAGATTAGAAAGAAACAGGTTTGAGTGGGAAGGCCAAGAGTTTGTTTTGGATATGTTAAGTTTGAACTACCTTTTAGACATTCAAGAAAACAGTAAGTCGACCAATGATTAGATAAAGATGTGGTATATATGTATAATGGAATACTACTCAGCCATAAAAAAGACAAAATCGTCCCATTCACAACCACAAGGATGGACCTTGAGGGGGTTATGTTAAATGAAATAAGCCAGACAGAGAAAGACAAACACCACATGATTTCACTTATTTGTGGAACATAAACAAAGTAACAGACAAAGAGAACAGTTTAGTGGTTACCGGGGGGAAGGAGAGTGAGGAGGTGGGCACAAGGGGTGAGGGGCGCATTTATATAGTGTCTGACAAATAATAATGTGTACAACTGAAATTTCACAATGTTACAAGCTATTATGACCACAATTTAAAAAATTAAAGAAAAGAAAACAGTAGGATTTATGGATCTGGAGCTCAGGGCAGGAGAGAGTTTCGGGAATTAAAGAACATGGATGATATTTAATGCCGTAGGCCTAAAGGGGAGGTGAGGAAATAGTGCAGTTCTGAGTACAGATGGCTATTTTGAGAAGTTTTGCTATGGTGGGAAGCAGAAAATTGAGTGATAGCTAGAAGAGGTTGTGGGGTCAGTTTAGGGCTTTCTAAAAATAGGGGAGAGTGAAGCATGTGTGTAAGTTAAAAGGAATGATCCAGTAGAGGGGGGAAATGATGCATAAAATAAAAGGCAGTTACAGGAATTGATTTCTGGGATTGGTGATAGATGTGATGGGCTCCACAGCACAGATGGGAAAGTCAGCCCTTGATAGGACTCGTACCCTTGTAACTGCAAAGCAGGCCTGGAGTCTGGACACAGGCTCGGGGAGATTGGTGTGTGGTAGAAGGTGTCAAAGGGGACCTAACCTCTGAGTCTTCTCTTTCCTCATTGAAGTGTGAAGTGAGGTGTGAGGTCATCAAAATCGAGGGTCAGAGGGGGTGGTGTTGGAGGTTTAGGAAAAGAGAAGATGTGAATAGTCTTTTCAGATTGGGAGAGTGAAATGATTAGGAAAATAGGATGGAATTTATAGGCATTCTTGAGTACCTATTTTTGTATACTGTATTACCATAGGATGCAAGTTAGTAGGTTTTCGTCTTTTTTTAAGCATCCTGATATGTATGAGCGAGCCGTGCTGCGGAAAGACCATCAGAAGAAGTATGGAGCCACGGTCGACCTTTGGAGCATCGGGGTAACGTTTTACCACGCAGCCACCGGGTCACTGCCGTTCAGACCGTTTGAAGGGCCACGCAGGAATAAGGAAGTGATGTAAGTGGTCTGTCCATCTCAAATTGGGAAAAGTTTTTAAAATATGTCTCCGTCTTATTTTGTTTCATTTTATGTTAGAGGTATACACTAATGAAAATTGATTTAGGCATCATTTCTGATATTTTAGGCTATTTGGTTTTTAATAAGGACGCAGCCTTATGGAAGTGTATAGGCATAATTTTTCGTATCGTGTTTAAATCTTACATACAAAGTATACATGGCATCCAGTCTTTGGTCCATCGTTAAAAATCTTCTGCTTTCTGGATTTTATTTCAGCATGCTGTTTGTTTGTTTCTCTTTGTGTACTTATCAGGTTTTTCCTTCCATATAACGTAAAAAATAGTACTTCTGTGGAGTCCTAGAACCATTACTGGATCTAAAAGAAATAGAATTCTTACCCTGAACTCATCTGATTTCTTTTGCCATTTCAAAAATAACATGTCGTGTAATATTAAATTTTTTCTAGTGTTGCTCTTTCGGTCCAAGGACGAGTGCATTTTACCAGTACGTTATACATTTATGTACTGCCCTACTTATGAGGAAATAATTGCTGTGTATAAAATCACTATTGTAATCTAAATAATGGAGGGAAAGAGAGCTGGATTTCTGGATGTGAAATTTATTTTAAAATTCATCCATAGCATACATTGACCACACATCTTTTTATTTTAAAAGAAGTTGGTGACTGACCTTGCTTCCTGAGAAACAGCCAGCTACGTCCGCATGAAAGCACGGGGTTGTGCATCCTGTTTGGCTCAGGAGTGACTGGCGACAGGAACCGTTCTTTTAGATCTTAACATTTCTCTCAGACCTTTGTATATTTGACTCTGCCTTTTCTCAGCAAACATGACTTAATCATCACAACCCTGAAAATACAATCTTTAATCTCATCTCGGAAAATTGAGGGAGAAGCGTATTTTTCTTTTTGTTAGTTTGAGGAACTAAAACCAATTCAGCTGATAATATGACTTTTGCTAAAACCCAGGTACCTACATGTTTTCTTTCCAGCAAGGACAAATGCCTGTTTGTGGCAAGAAGACATCCGTTACTGTCCTGAGGATTTTTGTACAGCATCATCTTGAGCCTGCTTACGGCAGTGCCCTTTTTATAAAATTTCTTCACTAATGATGGCTGAGTCCATTTGTGTTTTTCTCATTAAACGTGAATTGTGCCTAACAGTTAGTCATGCCTTTATTGTCACAGACGTGTTTTAAAGCAATGTCAGCATTTCTTGCTGCCCTGAAGATGGATTAAATAAAAGTGTGATGCTCCCTAATAAGGAAAACGTATGACTCATAAGAACTAGGAATGCCTGATGATTTTGTCTGACCAGCAAATGGGAAGCTATACCATTAGAAGAATTTGTTTATTTGCACAGAAGTTCAGCTTCTTATGAATGCTGGTGCTAATGGGTGTTCAGAAGTGCTGTAAGAGTGATAACGACCGCTTTACTTGACTTTCGGCTGCGTTTGTTTCCTGTCACAGCAGTGTTGACCCCTTGCCGTCTCATTTACATGTCATGAGTGTGTTTATACAGGGATCTTATCAAAATTAGTTAAGTTTTTTTAAGAATATGTGAGCATTCCCTTAAGAAGTCTGCCCTTCATTCCATTCCCTCCTCTTTTCTTGCGTTAATCTCGCATGTCCCTACTTGGTCCTCCACAGTCTGATCCTTCTTACGTGAATACAGCTTACTTTTCACTTTAATTTTCTTCTTCCCTGAAAAATCTCTCAAGGCAGAAATCTGGCTGCCTCTGCTGAGGAGCAGCAAGTAGTCTAAATCAGTCGTACTGGTTTGTTCTACTTTGTTAAAGAAAAAATTGATTTGCTCAGGGCACATTTATGTAGACATTAAACAAACAAACAAAAATTATGCCGGAAATAATAGCTGTAGACTTAGGTAAGATTCTGCTGTGCTGTGTCCTGCGTTGTCATCCGTGGACAGTGTCCTTGGAGGCGTGAGGCTCTTCCTCCCCTGCTCTCGGGGTTGCTTTGGGACCGTGCGGAAGCTGAAAGCTGCCTTCGCTGACCTCCTCCGTCGTTGTTTTGCTTCCTTGACCATCTCTTTCTTCAATTCATATTTATTTCTACCACTTTTCATCAAGAATCAAATTAAATTGGGCTTTTAATTTTGGTATACACACCTATTCTTATATGTGTTTATATTTTTTCAATACGCAAGGAATCTGTCTGACGTTGTGCTTTGTATAGTTTCATCTTTTTTCTAAAAGAGAACACTGTTGTTCATTTCCGCAGTGATTTCCTAGTCCTGTCGACTGTGCCTTTGGATACTATGAGTCAGAGCAATTAGATGCTTTATGTCATGGTCTGGAGATATTCTGTAACGTAACTTTTTTTGTGTTTCCTCGATTTGTTCAGATGGAAAAATTAGTATCTTTGTTGTGAACGTCATGATGCTGTTTTTTGGTACTCTGAGAGCCCAAATGAAAATTAATTGTGGCATATATAAAATAATCGTACAGCCACTATTCTGCTTCAGTCAGTCAGATTCAAAGTATTTTGCTTGCTTTGTGGATCCTGTGAACATCACTCACAAAGTTTCGTCTAGTAGATAATTGTAGGTGCAACCGAGGAGATACTTTTGCGAAGCCCATTGACAGGCTATGCAACCATGAACTGCTTAGTTCATTCGGCTTTTGTTCTTCCCAAGGTATAAAATACTTACTGGAAAGCCTTCTGGCGCAATATCTGGAGTACAGAAAGCAGAGAATGGCCCGATCGACTGGAGTGGGGACATGCCTGTGTCCTGCAGTCTTTCACGGTGAGTGTCGTGTGCCCACGTTCTCCTCACGTGCACTTTGGTGTTTGGCATCTTTGTTGGGTAAAGGCACACATACTTAAAGGCAGTCTGTTGTTTTGATTAGATGTTATGAAAGCGTGTGCTTGGATTTGTGAGTTTTGTCTTTGTGGCACGCAATATAAACATCCATCCTGGTCTGTCTTAGGACGTAGGACGTACATTTTTGAGATTGCAAATCACTGGTCTTGGGGTTCTGTCCAGTGTGAGGATCCAGCTTAGGACCTTGGTATCTTTTGTGCTGACCTCTGTATTGACAGACGCAAACAGTGGTATAGATAGGAGTGACTAGAGTTCTCAAACACAAACACTCAAGAAGTTTAATGTTATCCTCATGTTAAAAAAGTACTCATGGGCAGGCCCCAGTGGCCTAGTGGTTAAGTTCAGCGCCCTCCGCTTCGGCAGCCCAGGGTCACTTCCTGGGTGCAGACCTACACCACTCATCTGTCAGTGGCCATGCTATGATGGCAGCCCACATACAAAAAGAGGAAGATTGGCAGTGAATGTTAGTTCAGGGTGAATCTTCCTCAGCAAAAAAAAAAAAAGCATTCCTATTATTCCAAATGTGAGAAATCGTTTTCTACTACTTTCTCCAGCATTTCAAATGCTCCTATAGGTCTTATTTAATTTAGCAGCCAGAACTCAAAAGAATTATGTTGTCAGGTATGAATCCTGTTATCACAAAGAAAGATTTAAGGTAAAAGAAATTAAAAGTAGAGGGTATATTATTTTACTCTGGAAATCAAGCCAAGGCACTCATCAATATGTAGAATTTAGTATTTTAAATATTAACTATTTAGCAACTTATTTATTTGAATAAATTATATATATATGTATCACAAGCTAATAAAATATCACCTATCTTCTTCTTCTTTTTTCTGCTGAGGAAGATTTGCCCTGAGCTAACATCTGTTGCCAATCTTCTTCTTTTTGCTTGAGGAAGATTCACCCTGCTCTAACATCTGTGCCAGTCTTCCTCTATTTTGTATGTGGGTCGCCACCAGAACATGGCTGACAAGTAGTGTAAGTCCATGCTTGGGAACCAAACCCAGGCCACTGAAGCAGAATGTGCTGAACTTAACCACTAGGCCAGGGGGCCAGCCCCCTCACCTATCGTTTTATGTATTGATTCCTGTGAAAACTCATTGAAACCAAGAGTTCCACTGCTAAAATTATTTTTTAAAACGAGTGTCCTGACAGATTCATTTTTGGATTGTTTAAAAACATTCTTCAAAATAAAATTGTTTCATGCAGCGAGAATTACCAAGAGAAGTTAATTTTATTGAAGAGCAGAGATTTGATATTATAATAGTGATTTGTATTAAATTTTGACTTAGAAAATACTCATTTTGGGGCTCTCGGGCAAAACTGATAAAATATAAAGGGATCAGGAAATGAACACTTGCTGTTTAATAATTATGTTGCTGAAACTCAGATTCAGTGCTTTGACCTCTGAACTACAGGTTGTCCATTTCAGGAGGGGGAGAGGCTGTAGATTTTCCATCTAATCAGTTGTTAGCACACCAAATTATAAATTCTTTGATAAAAACTGCTTAGGTACCACAAAGTAGATTATTATATGATCTTGTTTTTCTTAAATAGTAAGGACTTTAAGTGCTACAAATGAGCAGTGAAAACAGGTACCAAAAATGGAACAACTGCCAAAAAAGAGAACTGTCCTCTTTCTTATATGTACCAGTCAAGACTGGATTGCAAGTGAGAAGAGCCCCACTCAGCCAGTTGGAGTGGAAATGAAGTGGATTGACTGTGTAATGAGAAGTTCTCGTGTGTGTGTGGCTCAGAGTCCAGCCGACTCCTTGGACTCAGACCGTGTCATCCAGACGTGGCTGCTTCGCGTCGTCCGGGCCTGCTTTCTCTGACTTCTCTCCACTCGCAGGCAGGCTCTTTCCTGGCAGCCTCGGGATGGCCCCTGGCATTCCCAGACTCACGTCCCCACAGCTGTGAAAGCTCAGTGGGAAGAAAGACTTTCTTTCCCGATAGTTTTAGCAGAGGTTTCTGGATTGATTCTCATTTAACTAACTTTATGCTGCCCCCTGGCACCTGTGACTACCCGTGATAACCAGACCTGGTTGTCGCGCCCCTCTGCACACAGAGATCGGGTTTAGAGAGCGGAGAGTGTGGATTCTTTTACAAAAGGAGGGGGAGTAGATACCTGTTAGCAAAGATTTAAAATGTCCTCTACATACTTTTTTTTTCCCTTGAGGAAGATTAGCCCTGAGCTAACATCTGCTGGCAGTCCTCCTCTTTTTGCTGAAGACTGGCCCTGAGCTAACATCCGTGCCCCTCTTCCTCTACTTTCTATGTGGGACAGCTACCACAGCATGGCTTGCCAGGCGGTGCCATGTCCGCACCCAGGATCTAAACCGGCGAACCCTGGGCCACCAAAGCGGAACGTGTGCATTTAACCGCTGCGCCACTGGGCTGGCCCTGAAAAAATGTCCTCTACATATTTTAAAAACTGTTGACAGACAAGTAATTATTCCAGTGTCTCTCACATAGTCAAGAATATATTTTTAAGACTATTTGAAATTTCGTAATTGAGAGCCTGTTTGGGGATATTTTATAATTTGGTGAAAGCATGAGAGAATGAAGGTGCTTCCGTTCATCTTTTAAAAAATATTTAAGCTTATTAGTCAAAGATTATTCCTGGTTGAATGGGCACTAATTGATTGCTAGATGATTATGATAATTTTACTTCCTAAATAAGTATACTACAAAAGGCATATAAATTCAACGTAAAAAGTTATGTCTCTTGAGTGCCATATGAAAAGGACATTAAAGACCCTGAAACTGAACCATTGTCTCAGCCTCGTGGCCTCCTGGTTCAAATCGGCAGGTCTGCCCCCATCGCCACGTGTACACAGTGTTAGAATGTGTTTGGAAAAGTAAGAAAACTTGGGAAGGAGAGCATCAAAATAATCAGTAAAAGCTAACATAAAAATCCCATAACCCCTGATTCCTTGACAAGTAATAAATACTAAGCCAAGACTACCTGGCTTTCTGAAAAGTTGGCAGATTTTTAAAAATTTTAAATTAATCTAATAATATTAATAGCCATTCATTGGATTTTGTGATGGATATTATGATTTTGTATCTAGACAAAACATAACACGTTCGGTCTTTAAGTAACTTTTTTCGTACTATTTTAGGGGTCTTCAGGTTCTGCTCACCCCTGTTCTGGCAAACATCCTCGAGGCAGACCAGGAGAAGTGTTGGGGTTTTGACCAGTTTTTTGCAGAAACTAGTGATATTCTTCACCGAATGATAATTCATGTTTTTTCACTACAACAAATGACAGCTCATAAGATTTATATTCATAGCTATAATACGTAAGTACTGATTTACATTTTCTTTCTGTGTCATGATATTGTGTTATGTAATAATTACCTTTGTAAATTAGGAGAGGAAATAGAAAAGATGCCTCAGCTTCATCAAAGGCACCCACTTCCCACTTAGAAAATTATGTTTGAGTTCTCAGTAAATTCTTTTTCACTTTTCTTTGGAGTAAAAAGATTAGTTTTCTAATTTTCTAAAATATACAAGTAAATTAGCTTGTTTTTAAACTGCCGGTTTTACAAGACTATTTTCATTTCTATGCCTTCTCTCAAATTACATCGTTACATACCACAGATAGCATCTACTAATAAATGGGCCAAGTTTCGTTGAGTCCTACCCTGTCATTTAAAAAAAGCGTAAGTCTTCAATATAGGTTCATATAGTTATTATTTGCACATGTGGCATAAAGCCTTTATTGGGTGCTGGAGAGATAATCATTTGTATTATCTAAGCAAAAACACGTTATGCTCATGTGAAAAAAAGTCTCCCCATGTGATAGAGCTGCATGGAACTAACTGCACACAGGATCGCATGTAAAGCCAGGCAGATCTGAAGAAGAGGGATGGGTTGTGTCAGTGTCAGTGTCCTGGTTGTGACGTCGTGCTGTATTTGTGCACACTCTTTCCCTTGGGGACACTGGGGGAATAGTATGTAGCATCTCTGTTATTCCTTACAACTGCATGCACATCCACAATGATCTCTAAATAAAATGCTTTTTAAAATGAAGGGGAAAAAGTTACATCTGTTAATCTATTCTATATGCCTTGGTTTCTGTTTTGACAAGATTTAAATACCAGCTTTGATGCCTCATAAAACTCAAAAAGAGACTTTTGGTAATTTTTTAAGGAATAAAATTAATTAAACAAAATAATATTTTAGATAATTAATATCTAATATATATGTCAAGTATAAGCTTTAAATATAATGAATAAAATATTAATATAACATTAGATTAAAATATATCATTTGTCTTTATTTTGATGCTTAATAGCCTGAATAAATGTGGGTCAGAGTTAGGTGTCGGCCACTCTCACTTTGAAAGTGTACTTGAATGTCAAAAGCCCCCCCAAGCCTGGGCCAGATCCCGGCAGGGGCCTGTGGCAGAGACGGTCACAACATTGCTGCTGAAAGCGTTCTTTGCTTTCCTGGATCTATTTAAGGAGATTCTACCTTTTTCCTCAAACCATCATTTTGAAAATACCTGCTTTTATTTAATTAATTGAACAAACATTATATAGTTATGTTGCGAGTACTGTTCTCAGTTCTTTACCTGTTGAAGTCATTTAATCCTCACAACAGTTCTGTGAGGTGGGGACTGTGGTTCCCATCCTACAGGTGAGGGGACTTAGCACTGAGGAGTTAAGGACTGAAGGTGAGTCCAGCAAGTACGTGCAAGAACTGGAGTTTGAACCCCGAGAGTCTGAGTCCAGCGTCAGTGCTCTTAAGCTCTTGCGATGTCGGCTCTCCGTTATTAAATAGTAAGACTCCTGCACTGCACGTACCCGGTGTAGGTATCCAGACACAGAAAGATTTCAGAGTGGATTAGTGTGGAATCTCAGTTTACTGGACTGCAGGACCCACAGCAGCGTGCTGTGGACTGATCACGATCTCGAGTATCGTTAGCAATGGGTGTTACTGGGGCCGGCCCGGTGGCCGAGTGGTTAAGTTTGAGCGCTCCGCTTGGGCAGCCCAGGGTTTCGCCGGTTCGAATCCTGCACGCGGACATGCCACCGCTCATCAGGCCATGCTGAGGCAGCATCCCGCATGCCACAACTGGAAGGACCCACAACTAAAAATACACAACTATGTACGGGGGGCTTTGGGGAGAAAAAGGAAAAATTAAATCTTTAAAAAAAAAAAAGAAATGGATGTTATTGCAGTCATCGTTAAAAAAAAGATTTTACCTCTCGTCTTGTCCCAGTTATGTTGTCCTTTGGATTTTCCTCACGCAGTGCTGCTGTATTTCATGAACTGGTGTATAAACAAACCAAAATTATTTCTTCAAATCAAGAACTTATCTATGAAGGACGACGCTTAGTTCTAGAACCTGGAAGACTGGCACAGCATTTGCCCAAAACGACTGAGGACAATCCCATCTTCGTAGTAAGCCAAGAGCCTCTGAGTGCTGTGGGACTGATATATGAAAAAAGTAAGTGGGGATTTTTCCTCTTGTTCTTACCAGCCACTAAAACAAACAGACCAACCTGTAAAAATCACGTCATCTTCATAAAGTTCATTAATGATGGCATTAATGTGGAGCTTTCATAAACGTTAAAAGTTGGTAAATGAGTTGGATGAAACCAGTAGTAAAATTGGTAAGCCTGTAGGCAACACAGTGTGACCTTAAATATTTTGTTTATAAAATGGTAAAGGTTTGTCACCTGTGTTTTACTGTCGCTCTCTGCTTTTAGCATTTTACTGACACTCAACCTTTTGTATCGTGAATTTCAGCAAACGTTTATTGTGTCCAGTGTGACTAGGACACTGCCAGGCTTTGGAGTCTGAGAAAAGTTAGATCTACAGTTTGGAATCTTTTAAATTGTTAATCCTAGTGGTGAAAAAAATAAATTACCCAGACTTTTACGTTTCTATTTGGATCTTTGGGATTTGATTTGGATTTAAACAGAAGCATTGAGCTTGTTGTATTGGAATATATTTAAGGAAAAGAATGAAACTCCTTAGAAATGTCGCGGGTAATTTGTTACGCAACAAGCACTGCTGTTTCAAGTGGTTTTTTTAACCAGGTAAAGAACATTAAAGAGTTTTGCCACTAATGTTTAATTTAGAGGTTAATGTTTAACTTAGAGGTTGCTATGTAAAGGATAAAATAATTTATTCAAAATGCTTTATTGCTGATTTTAATGATTTTCCTTCGTATTTCAGTTTCCCTCCCTAAAGTGCATCCCCGTTATGATTTAGATGGGGATGCCAGCATGGCGAAGGTTAGTGTCGAATTAAATTACTATGTAAACTTCTGAATTAAAATTCTCCTATCAACAGTGGAGGCAATAAAATGTATTGTGTCTTTACAGACGCCGATATGACTCAGGAAATTCTTCATTCGGATTGTTAGCCATTGCAAATTATTTTGTGTTCTCTCTGGTTTACTTTATATTGTGTTTTGGACTCATAAGAAAATTTTCTCCATTGAGACAGTGCATGTTTAACATTATCATGTTAAGGATGAAATATTTAGTACAGTTGTATCTGTCCTTAGCTTTTAGAAATTGGCAGTGTATTGCGTTTTAATTAACCTGATAAAAACACATAAGCTTGAAAATTTTTATGTAAAAGTTTTTCTTACCATGTACCACAGTTAGCACCAAATATTGACATTTTGTATTTCTTCCCTAGGCAATAACAGGAGTTGTGTGTTATGCCTGTAGAGTTACCAGTACGTTGCTGCTTTATCAAGAATTAATGCGAAAGGGGATACGATGGTTGATGTAAGTGGTAGAGTGAAATTTGAAAATTGATCTTCATGTAGACTTCGCTAAATAACTGGTGCCCACCCCATCACTGATACTTCACCCCTTCAGGCTAGTTGGGGTCAGGTACTGGGTTTTTATTATAATACTTTTGTTTCACATTTAGTTTACAAAAGGTTTAGCAGCTCTTTTTTTTTTTTTTCCATTGGATTCCTACAAAAACCTTATGAGGCATAGGACAAGGAGTATCTGAATTTTAACACTTACACCATACTGGACAAGATGATAGCAGCTGAATCCCTTTCCCAGGACCTGACTTGGCTGTCATGGCCCCGTCTCCAAGGGCTTTGGCGTCGTTAGGATCCAGCACAACCTCTTCCTCTTTCTAGGGTTTATGTCCTCAGAACTTCCTCCCTTTCTTACCTTTTATCCCAAATTAAGTATAGTCTCAACTTTTTTTAACAACATTATTGAGATATAATTCACATGCTATATAATTCACTCATTTTTAAAGTGTATAATTCAGTGATTTTAGTACATTCACAGAGTTGTGCAACCATCACCACTAATTTTAGAATATTTTTATCACCCCAAAAAGAAACCCTGCACCCATTAGCAGTCACTCCCTATTTCCCCCATAGGCTCCTACCCCGAGGCAACCGCTCATATACTTTGTCTCTATGGATTTGCCTGTTTTAGACGTTTTGTATAAGTGAAATCATACAGTCTGAGTACACACTCACCTTGACAAGCAATTTAAAAGCTAACTTTTTTTTTCTAAATCACTTAATATAGTTTTTCTAGGTCAGAATATTGATCATCTAGTTAAGTATTCTCTCCCTGAAAGTGACCCTAAGAAATGTTTTGTGATGAATATGGTTTGACCTTTTTTCCCTTTCATGATTTGTAGCTGTCATCTCTCCATCTGAGAGGTGGACAGTAAGCGGCCTCTTTTGGGAATCATGCCTCTAGTTCTGTATAGCCGCACGTGCAGCTTTTCAATTTGTACAAACAGTCATGGCCTCGTGTCCTCGGGGCTCATGCTGTGCTTGTGACAGTTGGTGTATACCCACCTCACACCTGTCCTTCCCTTCTCACAAAGACACGTGTGAAGGAGCATTTCATCCCTCTTGTTCTGCCGCTGCTTCTGAGAATAAATGAGAATAAGGCTCTATTTTTTTCCCTGTCACCTTTGTTTTAAACCTTTAAATTTATGCTTATAATATTTTTTTATATGTCACATACCCAGTTTGTAAGCCTATGCTTTTTCTATTAAGGAGCCTGTTTGTTTTTACTAAATAGTCTCTGGAAAAATCTAAGTGTTGACTCCATTTATTTTCATAGCGTTGTTACTAACAGGTCTCGTTTTCTCTTGCTGTTGTCATCTACCCCAGTCACCGCTCCGGGAAGCTTTTATTCCTTTACTTATTAGCTTTTAGATTAATAACTCATGAGAAAATAGTTAATGTAGACCACTGTTGGCAAACTTTTTTTCTCAGTTAGCAAATATTTTAGACTTTGTGGGCCACATAAAGTTTTTTCTTTGTTTTTATTTTATTTTTACAACCTTTAAAAATGTAAATAGGATTCTTAGCAAAAACAAGCATCTAACCTTAGTTTGTTGACCCTTGTTGTAAACCAAAAGCCCTTCAATCGTATTATTTAGTATGCCATCCTGGATCTTGAGAGACCATATTGGCTTATTTAAAGTATAAATTGGACAGCAGTCTACTGTGAGTAGTAAACGTTAATTCTGGTATGTAAAATGTAATGCTGTTCATCTTATTTGTGTGATTATAGATTAGTTTTTATTCCTTAATATAATTTTAATACCCAGGATTTCTAAACTGTAGACCTAATAAGTAGTGATGGTTTGTGCCCTAGATGTGTGTAAGAGTCACAGAGATGCTTTTAGTAATAAAGGGTGAACTGGCTTCATACTCCATCAAGACTGTTAAGACATTTGTCTGCACAGTAGTTCAGCAGTGTAATTAGTGATAGACAAGAGAAAACAAATAATTCATAAGGTAAACTAATGAGAGTATTATTATTTTTTAGAGAATTAGTTAAAGATGATTATAATGAAACTGTTCACAAAAAGACAGAAGTTGTGATCACATTGGATTTCTGCATCAGAAACATTGAAAAAACTATGAAAGTGTGAGTAGATTACTTCCTTACTAGTAGTGGTTAAAATGTTAAATATTATTCCATTTCTGCTTAATTTGTTTAGTTATCCCTGGCATGATGTGGCATGCTGTGCAAGTGTTTGTATTAAGGCACAACCTTAGATTAAGTTACGCCCTCACGAAGGCAGAAATACTCAGTCATCTCAGTAGGAAAGGAACAGCATCTCTTTGGTGGCATTTTCTCCTTCCCTTTGCAAAGGAAAAGGTAATCTGAGATGGAAACGTGTCATTTTTTAACTTGCAAAGTAGACTCTGAATAGGAAAATATAAAACCTATAATCAACAAATGAAGTAGGAAGAGGTATTCTAAACTGTGCTCTGGTAGTATTTTTAGAATTTTGGGATCACTTTTACTGATTAATCTTATCTCTGATAATGTCTTTTGAAACAGAATGATATTTTAAACTGCCCTCTTCCTAGGCTATACTGTGGGTACTGCCGAGGAAATAGAATAACTGAAAGCACTACTTACTGTCGACCTTCGTTAATTCTGAAATGTAGTGTTCTGACTAGATTATTATCCTGTCTAGTATTATCCTGTCATTGACTATTTGAAATTAAGTTGTCTTTTATATTTTATCTCCTTTTTTTCTTTTTATTGAGGTAACGTTGGTTTATAATATTGTATAAATTTCAGATCTACATTATTATATTTCGATTTCTGTGTAGATTACATCATGTTCACCACCCAAAGACTAATTTCCATTCATCACCGTATACATGAGCCTAATCACCCCTTTCGCCCTCCTCCCTTCTTCCTCTCTGGTAACCTCCAGTTCAATCTCTGTCTCTCTGTGTTCGTTTGTTGTTGTTTTTGTCTTCTGTTTATGAGTGAGATCATATGGTATTTGACTTTCTCCCTCTGATTTATTTCACTTTGCATAATACCCTCAAGGTCCATCCATGTTGTCGCAAATGGCCAGATTTCATCATTTCTTATGGCTGAGTAGGATTCTGTGTACATATACCACATCTCCTTTATCCATTCGTCCCTTGTTAAGCACCTACGTTGCTTCTGAATCTTGGCTCTTGTGAATAATGCTCAGTGAACACAGAGGTGCAAGTATCTTTACACGTTTGTCTTTTCATGTTCTTTGGATGGATACTCAGCAGTGGAATAGCTGGATTGTATGGTAGTTCTATTCTTAATCTTTTGAGGAATCTCCATACTGTTTCCCATAGTGGCTGCACCAGTTTGCACTCCCACCGGCAGTGTATGGGAGTCCCCTTTTCTCCACATCCTCTCCAACACTTATTTCTCGTCTTAATTATTATAGCCATTCTGATGGGCATGAGGTGATATCTCATTGTACTTTCGATTTGCATTTCGCTAATAATTAGTGATGTTGAATATCTTTTCATGTCCTGTTGGCCATCTGTATATCTTTGGAAAAATGTCTGTTCAGATCTTTTGCCCATTTTTTAATTGGGTGGTTTTTTTGTTGTTGTTGAGATATATGAGTTCTTTATATATTTTGGAGATTAACCCCTTGTCAGAAGTATGGTTTGCGAATGTCTTCTCCCAGTTGTTAGGTTGTCTTTTCGTTTTGTTGATGGTTTCCTTTGCTGTGCAGAAGCCTTTTAGTTTGATGTAGTCCCATTTGTTCATTTTTTCTGTTGTTTCCCTTGCCTGGTTGGACATGGGACTTGAAAATATGCTGCTAAAACCAATGTCAAAGAGCGTACTGCCTATCTATGTTTTCTTCTAGAAGTTTTGTGGTTTCAGATCTTACATGCAGGTCTTTAATCCATTTTGAGTTAATTTTTGTGTATAGTGTAATATAATGGTCTACTTTCATTCTTTTGCATGTGGCTCTCCAGTTTTCCCAGCACCATTTGTTGAAGAGACTTTCCTTCTCCATTGTATGTTCTTGGCTCCCTTGTCAAAAATTATCTATCCATAAACGTGTGGGTTTATTTCTGGACTCTTGATTCTGTTCCATTGGTTGCTGTAAGTTTGTAGTATATTTTGAAATCAGGGAGTCTGATGCCTCCAGTTTTGTTCTTTTTTCTCAGAATTCCTTTGGCTCTTTGGGGTCTTTTGTTATTCCTTGTAAATTTTAGGGTTCTTTGTTCTGTTTCTGTGAAAAATGTCATTGGTACTTTGTTAGGGATTGCATTGAATCTGTAGATTGCTTTAGGAAGTGTGGACATTTTAACTATGTTAATTCTTCCAATCCAAGAGCATGGAATATCTTTCCATTTCTTTGTGTCTTCCTCAATTTCTTTCAGCACTGTTTTATCGTTGTTTCCATTATACAGGTCTTTCACCTCTTTGGTTAAACTTATTCCTAGGTTTTTTATTCTTTTTGTTGCGATTGTAAATGGGATTGTATTCTTAACTTCTCTTTCTGCTGCTTCGTTGTTATTATATGGAAATGCAACTGATTTTTGTGTGGTGATTTGTATCTTGCCACTTTACCATATTCGTTATTATTTCTAGAAGGTTTTTGGTGGATTCTTTAGGGTTTTCTATATATAAAATCATGTCATCTGCAAATAGTGACAGTTTCACTTTTTCCTTTCCACTTTGGATCCCTTTTCTTTCTTTTTCTTGCCTGATTGCTCTGGCTAGGACTTCCAATACTATGTTAAATAAGAGTGGTGAAAGTGGGCATCCTTGTCTGCTTCCTGTTCTCAGAGGGATAGCTTTCAGTTTTTCTCCATTGAGTATGATATTAGCTGTGGCTTGTCATATATGGCCTTTATTATGTTGAGGTATTTTCCTTCTATACCCATTTTATTCAGGGTTTTTCTCATAAATGGATGCTGTATCTTGTCAAGTGCTTTCTCTGCATCTATTGAGATGATCATGTGGTTTTTATTCTTCATTTTGTTAATGTGCTGTGTCACATTGATTGATTTGCAGATGTTGAACCATCCCTGCATGCCTGTAAAAATCCCACTTGATTATGATGTATGATCTTTTTAGTGTATTGTTGTATTTGATTTGCTGGTATTTTGTTGAGGATTTTTGCATCAATGTTCATCAGTGATGTTGGCCTCTAATTTTCTTTTTTTGTGTTGTCTTTGTCTGGTTTTGGTATTAGGGTAAAATGTTGGTTTCATAGAATGAGTTAGGAAACTTCGCCACTTCAATTTTTCAGAAGAGTTTGAGAAGGATAGGTATTAAGGCTTCTTTGAATTTTTGGTAGAATTCGTCAGGGAAGCCATCTGGTCCTGGACTTTTATTTTTGGGAGGTTTTTGATTACTGTTTTGATCTCCTTCCTGGTGACTGGTCTGTTCAAATTCTTTATTTCTTCTTGATTCAGTTTGCAAAGGTGTATGATTCTAAGAATTTATCCATTTCTTCTACATTATCGAGTTTGTTGGCATATAGCTTTTCATAGAATTCTCTTATAATCTTTTGTATTTCTGAGGTGTCCATTGTAATTTCTCCTCTTTCATTTCTGATTTTATTTGAGCCATCTCTCTTTTTTTCTTTGTGAGTCTAGCTAATGGTTTGTCAGTCTTCTTTATCTTTTCAAAGAACCAGCTCTTCATTTCAATGACTTTCTTCTATTGTTTTTTTTTTTTTTTAGTCTTTATTTCCTTTGTTTCTGCTCTGATTTTTATTATTTCCTTCCTTCTGCTGATTCTGGGCTTTGTTTGTTCTTCTTTTTCCAGTTCCTTTAGGTGCACTGTTAGATAGTTTATTTGGGATTTTTCTTGTTTGTTGAGGTAGGCCTGTATTGCTATAAACTTCCCTCTTAGAACTGCTTTTGCTGTATCCCATAAATTTTGGCATGTCATATTTTCATTTTCATTTGTCTCCAGGTTTTTTTGATTTGTCCTTTGATTTCTTCATTGACCCAATAGTTGTTATATTTTATCTCTTAATGTGCCAATTTATGAGTAGGGGTATCTAAAGTTCCTTTTTTAGGAAGACATCAAGTTTTCTTGGAATCTGTTGCTTATAGGCTTTGTATCCAATATATTATTCTTAAATGGTTATGATAATAAAAACTCAAATATAATTTATAAAACATCCTCTAAAATCTGTGTATTCACTATGCTCATTTAATTTTTTTGTACTTGTTTTTCATACAGATATGAAAAGTTGATAGAAATCAACCTAGAAGCAGCAGAGTTAGGTGAAATTTCAGACATACACACCAAATTGTTGAGAGTAAGTATTTACAAAATTTTGACAATCATAGGCTTATAATCTGTTCCTTTGCCAGCAAGATTAAGTGTAAACTTTCCTGTAGAGATGATGTATCTAACAATCTCCAGAGAAAGAGTAGCCTTTTTCCCATCTTTAGGAACTATTTACAGTATTTAAATACCCTCACTGCCGTGGAATTTTTCATGGCGTTTCCCAATGCCTGCTTTGCTCTAAGCCATTTTCTCTCTCCTTTCTATGCTGCCTCTCTCTCCCTGTCTCTCTTTAAAACCTGTGATGCTCTTGTGTTGCTGCTGTGGCAGTTAAAGCAAGTTCATAAATATAATTTAACATGCACAGTGCTTAAACTTAGTGAGAAAGAGATGCAAGTTATGAAAATGTGAGACTTTTTCTAAAATAAAAAGTAATGCAAGAAAGATTTGGGTTCCTCAAGGCAGTGAATCATTTCTGTACCTAAAAAAAGAAATTAGGACAAAAGTCTTTGCTGAAAAATCCAGTGGCATTTCAGGTAACGTCTGGATCTCTCATTGAAATGTACTGTAGAAGAACGTGGGATGATGTCTTGTGAGAGCTGATTGCTGGTCCCGGAGCTGCCCCTGTTTGCTTGGCTATTCCTGCCTGGCTACAGAAGCAAGGCCTTTCACTCTTTGCATCCTTGGTTTCTTTTTCTTTAAAATGGGCAGTTTCTTACCCTGCTTACGTCATAGGTGGTTGTACCAATTAAATGAGATAAATGAAAATGCTATACTCCTACCAGCTTTTAGCATTTGGAGTATTCTTTCATGAAATGGATGTTAAATTAAAAGTACAAAAGAACTTGATATGATATCTCTTTTCCCTATCCCAGCTTAGGCTGGTTTTTAGTTGTTTCTTTTTTCTCAGTTTTGTTTTTTTTTTAAAGATGGCACCTGAGCTAACAACTGTTGCCAATCTTTTTTCTTTCTTTCTTTCTTTCTGCTTTTGCTCCCCAAATTCCCCCAGTACATAGTTGTATATTTTAGTTGTGGGTCCTTCCAGTTTTGGCATGTGGGACACCTCCTCAGCATGGCCTAATGAGCAGGGCCATGTCCGCGCCCAGGATCCGAACCAGCGAAACCCTGGGCCACTGAAGCAGAGCACACGAACTTAACCACTCGACCATGGGGCTGGCCCCTCATTTTTCCTTTTTAAGAGGAGTGACTTTCCTTTTGCCTCTAAGCAAAGAGCACAGTCCTGCATAACCACGTCTTTTGCTTGGGACTACGCTGATGGCTCTCCTGGCTAATTTTCCCAACAGCTCTCAGAGTATTAACCATATTTTATAGGTAAAGAAACAGAAGCTTGGGCTGGCCCCGTGGCCGAGTGGTTAAGTTTGCGCACTCCGCTGCAGGCGGCCCAGTGTTTCGTTGGTTCGAATCCGGGGCGCGGACATGGCACTGCTCATCAGACCACGCTGAGGCAGCGTCCCACATGCCACAACTAGAAGGACCCACAACAAAGAATATACAACTATGTACCGGGGGGCTTTGGGGAGAAAAAAGAAAAAAATAAAATCTTTAAAAAAAAAAAAAAAGAAAAAGAAACAGAAGCTTGATTGAATGATTAACAGTATTTTGTATGGTTTTTTTAAAAAGGATGTTTAATGTAAGAAATGTTTTATAAAATGTATTACTACTAGTCTCATGTTTTATTATCATATCAAACTCTTGATAGAAATCAATTTAAGAAACTGTCCTTTTATTTAAACATAAAAATGATTATTCTGACTTGAGGTAATCTGCAAGAGAAGTGTGATTCAGACTTCAGGCTCCACTGGCATTGTGATGATCGTTTCTGATTTTTGATCATCTGGATCTGAACCCTTGGTTTTATTTAGCTTTCCAGTTCTCAGGGAACAATAGAAACCAGTCTTCAGGATATCGAAAGCAAATTATCTCCGAGTGGCCTGCTGACAGACGCCTGGGCCCATCAAGAAGGCACTCATCCAAAAGACAGACAGTAGGTCATGACTTTCTTGGTGGTTTCTGCTCTTAAATGTCCTTTTTCACATCAACTCAGTTAATTTATTTGGGTTTTCCTTCCTTAAATAGCGTAGAAAAGCTACAAGTCCTGTTAAGTTGCATCACAGAGATTTACTATCAGTTCAAAAAAGACAAAGCAGAACGTAGTAAGTAAAATTTGCCGTTTGTTAATCTAATGAATCAGCCCTACTAATTGTGATTGAGTTGAATCAATTTGGGATGTCTGTAAGGGTGGCTGCTTAAGATATTTCAGAGACTGGAGTCTGTCAGGAACTTAGTTGAATGTATTAAAAATTATTCTTAAAACCAACCTTTTGAATATTTTAAATCGGGGCCAGGAACTCCAGCACCTCTTGAGGCCAGACAGGTGACAGAAGCGGGAGGCGGGCCTGGCCTACGGATGGTGGAGAGGGGACCCCTACCAGGGGAGCGTCTCTCCTCAGATTCGCCACGTTTGTTGCCCGCTCTTCCTGTATCTCAAGAAAAACTATAAATACATAGTGTATTAGGAATATCCTGATTTTTAAATGTTGGCAGTTAATTATTTTTTTAATATTAACACTATACAGACCAAGTAAAAACTTATGGGCTATATCTAACTCATGGGTCATGATTTGGTGACATCTGCTTTACTCTCTTAGCCTTTTTGAAGGCATAATTTCAAAAGAAAAAGATATTGTGTGCCATTTTATGATTCCACATTTACAAAAGCAATGTATTTTCTTTTTAGGACTAGCTTATAATGAAGAACAAATTCACAAATTTGATAAGTAAGTGTCCAGATTATGTTTAATAATTATTTTTGGTTATGTTATTAATCTGATTCATCTTAAAGTTGGAATTCAATAAAAAATGCATTTTAATCTCGGCTTTTCTGAACTGTTACTATGTGTGCACATACTTGAGGCCTACTCACCTGGCCCCTGGTTGAGAGGTTACTGAGACGAGCGAATGAGGGCCCGTCTGCTTCTGTCTCGTGTGCTATGACTGCAGAAGGATGGATAATAGAGAACCAGGCCAGGACGAACTTAGCCACCTCCTTGACCTTAACCTCCGTCAGTAAATAGTTTTGCCCATTCTCCATTGGGAGCCTTCTCTTTCTCCTCTTGCTGCTGTAACATCTATCTTTGAAACCTTTGCCTTTCTGCTGTAAATATTCTAAAGCCACAACAGTTGTTACAGGAAACATGAATTTAATGTTCGAGAATTTTTTTAGTATTGGAAATAGAAACAGTGATGTTGGTTTAAGCCTCTGATTATTTCTAAATTACAGACAAAAACTGTATTACCATGCGACAAAAGCTATGACCCACTTTACGGATGAATGTGTTAAAAAGTATGAGGTGTTTTTGGATAAGTCAGAAGAATGGATGCGGTAAGTACCTTTTGGGGTGATTATTGGTTGACCACACAATTAACAATTTAATGTGTATTGTATATTTTAAGTGAGAATAATATTTCATTAAACTGCTTATTAGTTGATTCTTTTTGGTTTTCAGAAAGATGCTTCATCTCAGGAAACAGTTACTAGCCCTGACGAATCAGTGTTTTGACATTGAAGAAGAAGTTTCAAAGTACCAAGACTACACCAGTGAGGTACAGCTCCCCAGGGGCGGGCGGGGAAGCCTGCTTCCTCATAGGAGGAAGTGAAATAAAACTCCTCGCAGTTTCTGTTGGATTACGGTTGAGAAGGGAGAGAGAGGACGTAAGACGCCTATATTCGGCTCTCCCTGCCCATTTGTAATACATAATTTTGAGCCAAGTTTTAAAAACTTAGATGTTTTACAATTAAAAACATCTCTTAGACCATTCTTTTTTATCATTTATAAGAAAAGTTTTTCAAAAAGAGTCTTGATTTAAGTATTGTATCATTGATAGCTTTGAAATTAAAGCTGTAAAGGCCTTGTTAAAACCTGTAACATTTGATCTCAGGTCTGCAGTAAGTACTTTGTTCTGTGATTCATGTGGGGTTTTTGATGTTTTAGTTACAAGAAACGTTGCCTCAGAAAATGTTTGCGGCCTCCAGTGGAATGAAACATGCCATGACCCCGGTTTATCCATGTTCTAACACTTTAGTGGAAATGACTCTAGGGTAAGAAACTTATTATTTGGTAACTGTGTTGTTTCCATTTGTTTTTATCTCAGTTTGTGATCTTGCTCTTTTATTTTGAAATTTTGTGAATACATTTACTAATGTTATTTAGTGACGTAGTTCAATCTAAAGAAATAAAACATAAGAATAAAGTTCTAAAACATTTGCAGACTTGTTTAAGCAGAGATGCTTATTTATCTTTATTTTGTGTGTATAGCATGAAGAAATTAAAAGAAGAAATGGAAGGAGTAGTTAAGGAACTTGCTGAAAATAATCATATTTTAGAAAGGTGAGTAATAAAAATCCCTCTCTGCCCTGTGGTTTTATGTGCAATGGAGTGGGTATGTATCTGTAGCTGTGTCTGTCCGCCTGGACTGAGAGCTTAGGCTGTGGGAGAGGGATATGTAAAGGCAGAACCCTTATGTTTTGCGACTTCCGTGGTGCCTTTAAATTTGTTCGGGGTCATTTGGATAAAGACAAGTCAACTCTGATTGGTTCCATCTTAGGGAAACACTGGTTAATAGCGTTATTTGCTCATTTGGATCAGTTTGTGAAAATGAAAATCTTGTACACAGTATTTTTCGTAGCATTTTCTCTTTAGAACCATAATTTTTAATTTTGGAATCAAAGGTTCTTCTAGGGTGCCAGCACTCTGATTGGTGCTGTGCCACTGACAGAGGCCTCCGCGCGCCTCCTGCCGGTGAGTGCCGTCTGTGGACGCATCTCCCGGGGGTCAGGTGTCTGCGTGTCTACAGAACCTTGACAGATTGGGGGAAAGAGAGCTGGGAGGCGTACAGAGCCCGCAAAGTCCCTTTGGATGGCTGTTTCCTTGTCCTGGTTCCTCAGAGAAGTAGAGTCCTGTCTGGCTACCTAACAGAACCCTTGTCTTTCAAGCCTGTTTGTGGTCCTCAGCAGCTCTCTACCCCCAAAATGCTCGTGAAAATAGTCCACGTTTATATGGTGTTTTGTGCACTTGCAGGGCGCCTTCGCGCTGCGTTATCTCGGGGACCACGCGGTCCAGCCATGTGCCGTCGCAGAGCAGACAGCCTCTGTCCAGTTCTGCAGATGCGTGGGGTCCTGCCCTGGGAGGATGAGCGGCGGCTGGGTTCTCTCCCCCACTGTCCCTGTTCTCCAAAGCTGGGGGGTGCACCAGCACGAGACCCCATGGTCTTTGAGCTCTATGCAGAAGGTTGTCAGATGCTTCTGGAGTATTATCAATTTTTTTAATTAATTTAATGCATTATTTTTAAAAATTTCAAACCATATATAATTATAAACATTTGGAAATAAAAGTCTCCACCTGCCCTTTCTCGTGCACTCCCTGCCCCGTAGAAGTCATCACTATTAATGGTTTTGTTTTGCATGTGTGTTTTCTAAGAATGGAATCTGTTCATATTGGTTAGTCTTACTTTTTTTACTGAAGGCTATATCACGAGTACTTTTTCACGTCCATGTGCGTAGCTCCGTTTTTCTCATTTTCAGCAGTGCCTCATATTCCAGGGTGTGGATCTACCATGTCTGTTTAATTCATCCTCATTCGTTGGGCATTTAAGTTGCTTCTGATTTTTCACAATTGCAAACCATGCTGCAGTAAACATACTTGTAGGTGTATCTTCATGCACTTATGGAAGAATGTTTGAGGGGTTAATTTTCAGACGTTTCTAGATAGGAAATTGTTGAGTTAAAGTGTGTGCACATTTAAATGTTGATAGGTATGTTAATTTGTTCTTTAAAAGGCTTGTATGTTTTAGTCCCAAACAGACAAAGTCTATGTTTTTGTCAACACTGAATGTTACCAGTTTTTTAAATGTTTACTAATTTATTTAGTGAAAGCTGATACCTTGTTTTAATTTGCATTTCTTCAGTTAATGATGTCAGGCATCTTTTTATATATTTATTCCATTTTTATTCTTTCTGTGAATTGCTTATTAGGTTTTAAAATCTTTTTCTATTGGTTTATAGCAACCACATAGTAATTATCTAACTTTGTATAGTATCCAATTTACAGTTTCTTTACAACTTTAGCTAAATTCTAAATTTATCCTGTAAAGCTAGAGATTAGCAAGAAGAGGCTAATAAACAAGGCTTTTAACAGACTTTTATGCTGAATCACTTCTGCCTTGTGGAATAAAGTCCCCACTCCCAAAGCAGGTCCAGTAAGTTGGTTCCCCCCATGTCCTATGTGCAGGTTTATTTGACAATTTGTGTATGTTGGGTGATGAAACTTAAATGTTGAGTGACTCCTTAAAGGATTTGTGCCAGAACTCGTGGGAGGAGCCAGGTCGTGTGCACTGTCTCCATGTGGATCCCTCGCTGTCACCTCTGGCTTCCTTGGATCGAAAATCACTTAGTATCGTCCTTCCCAGCTCAGTTTTCCCTCTGATTGCCTCATCCTCTCAGTGAGACAGCCTTGCTCCTGCTTCCTTGAACATCAGTCGTTTTGGCCTCTTACTCTTCTTTACTCCCTTCTTCGGGTTTGGTGGCCTTCCCTCAGATGGTTCCATCCTCCCTGCCCTCGCATGGGAGCTGTGGTCATGAACTACGGCCAGTTTCCCTAACCGCAGGCTCTGCCATCTGTCCTGGTGTCACAGCCAAAATAAGCTTCCCAAATACTGGTCTAATCATGCCACTCCCTTGGCTCAGAAATTTCTAAACTTGTGTTACCTAAAAGGTCAAGTCTAAATTAATGCTTGAATTCAAAAATTAGAATATCTGGCCCCAGCCGATTCACCCAACTTTCCCACTACTCACTGCCCAAAATAAGATTCTGTTCTAGAAGCTTCCATCCCTGACTGTCCCTTGAGTATGGCACACCTACTCCCAACTCCACATCTGTGCTGTTAAGTCCCACCCTGCCGAAAAGGAATTCCCCACTTCCTATCTGGATTACATCACTTCACACTTTCTCTTAGGAGTCTTCCCCCACCCCGCCCCCGCAAAAGAAGAAGTCTTCCCAGGCCACTGAATTGTGTTTTTTCACGTATTTATAATGATACCACTGTGTTTCATAAGAATAGAGGAAATCTTGCTTAAACTCTTTAAAAATAACAGTTTATTCTTCCAGAAAGTATTTTATAGTCTTCTTTAAAATGTTGGGGGGGTATGCAGCCCCATGGCCGAGTGGTTAAGTCCGCGTGCTCTGCTGCAGGCAGCCCAGTGTTTCGTTGGTTCGAATCCTGGGTGCGGACATGGCACTGCTCATCAAAACCACGCTGAGGTGGCGTCCCACATGCCACAACTAGAAGGACCCACAGCGAAGAATATACAACTATGTAACAGGGGGCTTTGGGGAGAAAAAGGAAGAAAATAAAATCTTTAAAAAAATAAAAAAAAATAAAATGTTGGGGGCCAAATAGATGAGTCTTTTGAGATTGCCTTTTTCTTTCGTGTTGTAGGTTTGGCGCTTTAACCATGGATGGCGGCCTTCGCAATGTTGACTGTCTTTAACTTTCTAAGAAGTTTGAGAAGAGTTGCAGTTTGCACAAGAAAATAATGTGAGGCGTTAAATGATTGCCTCTATTGGTAGTCCCTTGTTTCTACAATTCAGTATTTGATGGGTTGTGTAAATATGTACAATATTGTAAATATATTAAAAAATATATAAATTTTTGGCTGCTGTTAAGAGTACTTTTAACATTTATAATTATCTGAGGACGTTTGCCCTCAGCAAGCACTAGAAGAAAGCCATGTCCAACTGATGCGTTGAGATCCTGACCCCCTGCTCTTCTGAGGAAGGCCGACTGAGTCAGGCGTCTCTGACTGCCGACTGGAAACATTTTTAAGTGGAACCACAACAGGCTTCCTTACAAATCAGAAAGCCTGAGAGTTGACAGGCTTCTAAGCGGAGAGGCAGCTTCTGTGGGTGGGGACAGAACCGAACCGCTGTTGTACTGTGATCCCAGTTTTTTTGAAAAGGATGAAGTAGCATTATTTATTCCATCTTACAAGGTGCCCAGATCCCAGTTATCCTCATATCTGTTTACTTTCAGATAAATTATCGATCAAAATTTTTAAAGTGATTTAATTATTAAAAACTACTCACTTTTATTTTGGCCATAAATGTATAATTGTCATAAAAATTTTAGGGTAATTTCAACTGTTTTAAGCTGTATATTTCTTCTTTAATTCTGCTTACTACTTCATGAAAAAATGTCAATAAATTTCTGATTTTAATGTAAAGACTGTACTTTTCTGCCTGTAACAGTTTGAGAAACGAAGGTTACTTTTGAAAGAAAGAATATGGGTGGTGATGGTAAGTTATTCTTGGAGTATTGGATGTGGAGACAGGCCTCTGTCTCTTCTGAAGTCACTGATTCCGAGTTTGGTGGAAGTTCTTTCATAAATTTGTGCCATCCCAATTCAAAGACTTTCTCTTTGAAAAATCTACACAGAATTCTAGACTAACAGGTTATGCCCAGCAAGAAACTACTTCATCTAACAAGGGTTTGTTTTGGTTTTGGTTTCTGACTTATGAGACTGTTGACGTGTGGTTACACACAGCCTGTGTATCATGAAGGTAACGTGGCCTAAAGAGTCAATAAACTTGACTACCATGAACATTGGAAAACTGGAAATGGATTAGGATTTTATTTGAAATCTCGGGTTGATTTATTGTCGTGGGGCATTTTAAGTGTCTCATGGACGCATTATAGAAATAAGTGCATGAGGGAATGACTTAGAGAAATAAGGTCATCCCTGTCAGGTCTCCTGTGTCGTCTGACAGTGTGGGGCCGCGGACTCTTTATAAACCTCTTGATTTTAATTTCCCATTTGACTGTCTCACATATGTCCTTAATTGTATACTTTAAATGTTTTTATCATGTTTATGTGAACAGTAGGTAAAATTTTACTTAAATTCTGTGATCAGTTAATATATTTGCAGATTTAGTTTTTATTGCAGTGGCTCTAGAAAAGAACACCAATAAACCCTTCTGCGGGGATTGTCTTGTTGTAAGTGGTGTTGATAAGAACAATTTATTCCACGTCAGTATTAAGACTGCTGTTTTATTCCCTATTACAGTGCTGTGGAAACCAAGCGTCTCGCTTTCAATGTTTTACCCTCAAAAATACATCCTCATTCAAAACATCTTAAGTTAATAAATACATGGTGATTCCTGTCTGCTAACCTAATTTTCAGAGTGACTATTTAGGTGAAATTGGCTTAAAATAAGTTAATATTCAATATTGAGATGTATTTTCAAAATATAGGGGTTAATGGTATAAAAAATCGTGTATATATAAACAAATAGAGGAGTTAGTGGATTTAACTCTTGATATAAAAGAAATTTAGTTCTCACAGCAGAGGAAATTGTCAAAAATGAAGTAAGTGAATGTAAAATATGTGAAACAAAGAGCTGTCTTTGACTAAATGAAAAAGGAGTTAGTGGGGCCCATCCTGTGGCCGAGTGGTTAAGTTCGTGCGCTCTGCTGCGTTGGCCCAGGGTTTCGCCAGTTTGAATCCTGGGCGCAAACATGGCACCGCTCATCAAGCCACGCTGAGGCGGCGTCCCACATGCCACAACTAGAAGGACCCACAACGAAGAATATACAGCTATGTACCAGGGGGCTTGGGGAAGAAAAAGGAAAAAATCTTAAAAAAAAAAAAAAGGAGTTAGAGATTAGGAAGAAATGTGAAAAATAATCCCTTAATGTCCTCTAAAGTTCTGGCTTCAGTTATTTTGGAAATTACCAAATACCATGTAAGTGACCTGTAGACCTCACTACACTGTGTCACACGAAGTGTGTCTTCTTAGATGTGAAAGACCTTTTCTCAACGTTTCTTTTAAAATATAATATCTTCATCAGTAAATTATCCAGAAAGAAATTACTTTAATCCTGGATGTTTTTTGTTTTGCTATTATTTTTATAAGCAGTGAAGTTCCGCTTTTTGTGGTGTTCTATGCTAAAATTAAGAGCTATGTTGTTTGGAATTAAGAAAGGGACCACCGGTAGGAATAAATAAGCAATCTCAGCTAAAATGTCAAAAATCTGTTCTCCCTTCCGACTCACAGCCACACCCACAGTAGCCTTTTACTTCCGACGTTGCCCGCTCTGAGGTGAGAAGCACGCCTGGCGCCTTGTCTGTGGGGAAGTGCTGTGGAGGGTTTACTGTTACTCAAACCAGTTCTTAAAACGTGTCCTGGGGCAGACGCTGTCGAAGGGAAAGCTGTGCAGTCAACGCTATTGTTTGAGCTGGATCCACACCCCACGCCCCATTTTTAAGAAAACAAAAGTATCTGAAAAAGCCTTCATGGTGGTTGTAGTTGGACTTCCTCTCCGCTTGTTACTTAGAAGAAGACTCAAAAGTCCAAATTCCTAAGAAATACTGAAAATGGCATAGAAAAGAACATCGGACCTGAAAATAAAAACTGGTAATATAATAGCATCCTTTGGGTTTTTTTAGAATGTAAATCAGCTCCAAAAATTTCGTGTGGTGTCTAAAAGCACGGCCCAATATTGCATCGAGGCTCTTCTAGGCACTAAGTGAGCTATGAGTTAGTGTATTTCTTTCGACACAGAAGGCAGAGGACCAATTGTTAGTTTCAGAGGTGGGGATGAGAACCTCGGTCCCAGTTGCATAGTAGGCAACTAGACATTGGTATCTGCTGAAGCAATATGCAATAGTGTTAAAGAAAAGTCTAGAGAAGGGTTACAAAGTCCAACAAAAGGGTTACAAAGAAGTCTAACAAAGGGTTAAAAACCCAAACTGGGGGTCGACCTGTGGCTGAGCGATTAAAGTTCTGTGCGCTCCGCTTTGGCGGCCCGGGTTTGGATCCGGAGATCCCACTCCACTCATCAGCCATGCTGTGGAGGCGTCCCACATGCAAAGTGGAGGAGGATGGGCACAGATGTTAGCTCAGCACAAATCTTATTCACAAAAACAAACAAAAACAGGACCCTGGAAAAAATCTTCTGCACATTTCTTGACTTGTAAGAATCAGTCAGATTCTTTTTTTTCTGGGATAAATCCCTGCCAAGGTTTAAAGTAAGTATCATTTTTCCAGTGAAAATGTACAAAACAAATGGGATCAAGGCTATGGCTTTAGGCGGTAGCTTGTTAATCCCCACAGGTCCTCATTGCCATCAGCAGTTCTGTTGGATGCTGAGCTAGTGGATGCTGGTTGCTTTGCTCCTCTGTGAAAGGAAGTGTGTTTTTATGAAGGAGGTGCAGGAGGAGTCTGTGCTTAAAAATTATCAAGTGTTGCCTTGGGTTAGAGTTTCTAAAGCTTAAAACTCTAGAAAGCGTCTGTTAATAGAGTTTCTGGTTCTGAGGGCCAAGGTCTGAAGGACAAACCAAAGGCATTGACGGGGGAAGAGGATTTAGGGCTGACGGGTGGTCCCCAGACATCTCGGCTGAGAGAGAGTTCACAGCTAAAGTGTCCCGTGTGGGTGTTACTGTGTTTTCCTCATCTGTGCTCTCGAGAGAGTCATTCTGGAAGACTCGTAGTTCTAGCTATGGCCATAAGAAGTGACTTTAACAAGACCCTCCGAAGAATAGCCCGGCTTTTTTACTGGTTCTGCAAATCACTGACCTGCTCGAAGAATGGGAAATCCAAGTTGCTCTGGAGCCAGCGTGGAGGTAAGTCATCTCAGGCTAATGCATTTCAAATACATTTTTTTCCTGTTACTAAAATGGAGCCTCCTCAAGTAGGGGGCGAAAAAAGCCTTTAGAAAGCATTATTTAACATGGTTGTCTGAGGGAAAATTGAGAGAAAGTAAAATAAAGCAATTTGAAGCTGACGTATTAAAAGCCATGAACATTTTTGTAATCCAATTTTTATACTTTTTTAGGCGTTTAGGTTCAGAGAAGTTTTCTAGAGAGAGACGGAGGATGTTTAGCTTTAAAATAACAAAAGCAGCTCTTATTTTCAGTTTTGAGTTTAAATACCTTAGAATAAATAGCAAAGAATAGATTAATCACAGTGAGTTCCCCTTCCTTTTCCTAGAAAACCAAAGACGTCAGTGGAGCTTATATTTCCTTTGTTTGGGTCGGTTTATGCCGCTCTTTTTAGTCAGATGTGGCTGGGAGGTTTGAAGCCCCTTAAATATGCTCCTGCATGCAACGCTCATCTTCCGTCCAGTCCTTCCTGATCAGAAGGTGAAGGGTCAGAAGAGAGGGGACACAGGAAGCAATGACGTTTCCGAGTCTGGTGTCTGAGCACCGTGTGCAGAGCGGGACTTTCCCCGTCTCACTCTGCAGGTGGGAGCATGTTGGGCGGGCTGCCTAGACTAAAGTTAGCAAATTCTCTCACTTCATAATGTTTCGTCTTGCAACTGAATTAAAATATAGTTATGTTTCCTTGACCTCATGTAGCTCTGCATCTTACGTAATTGCTTGCTCCTCGTCTGAGAGATGATCAAACATAATCTGATGATATGGTGGACGATCCAGCACAAGGTCCTCCTCTAATTAGCACAGAAATGACGGATGTATAATCATCAGAGGTATCTGATTAAGATATTTAAAAATTCTAAGGCCTAGTACATTTCAATCATCTATTTTCCCTTGAGTTGATATTTTCTTTCATTCTTTTTCGCTATCAAAATATGGGGAATCTAACAATAGTTTAAAGGTCCTTCTGTGTATATATATGCCATCCCTCAGATACAGAATAGCATAATTTGCTGTGTGAGAGCCCCAAGGGAACTTAGAAAAATCATCTTCTCCGATCCCTTCATTTTAAAGATGAGTCAACTGCTTCCAGAAGGTAAATATCTTAGCCTTCCAGAACCATTGCAAGGGAAGAACCAGAGCTTTATCCTAGATCATCTCACTATGATCCAGGCTCTTCTTACCACAGCACAGTGCTACGGTGTGTGAACATCAGAGTGTGAGCACGCAAACACTCACTGATTATCTCGGAGCTGGCCCTCCTCAGTGGATAACCCAGCCCTAGAACATTTGGTCATTTATTTTTCGAGAGTAAAGCTCGCGAGTTCTCTCATTAGTTTAAAGAGTAATACTCTGTTTCCAGCAATCTTTTCACTTAGCATCTGATGAAATACCGTCTTTTGTTGAGCTATTACCCACTTCTAATAAGATTATTTAAATAAATGCCTTACAGAAATATATCCCCTCAAGAGCAAGATCCATCTTTTATTCCACCTGCAATGCTTAACACAGTGTTTCGTATGGTGGGCAGTCAACTCTTTGTCTTACTGAGATGATCTATGAAGACAGCCATATGGGATTTGAGGGGGATAAATTAAAAGAATGAATTGACTTAGAGATCTGCTAATCCCTGGGGGTCCTTGCTCCAGCTTCTGTGTAGATTGACGAGTTTTCACCACCTGCAAAAGGTAGCTCTTGGGGCCGGCCCTGTGGCCGAGTGGTTAGGTTCGCATGCCCAGGGTTTCACCAGTTCGAATCCTAGGTGTGGATGTGGCACTGCTCATCAAGCCATGCTGAGGCAGTGTCCCACATGCCACAACTAGGAGGACCCACAGCTAAGAATACACAGCTAAGAATACACAACTATGAATACTAGCGGGCTTTGGGAGAAAAAGGAAAAATAAAATCTTTAAAAAAAAGAAAAAAAGGTAGCTCACCATCAGGTCACCTCTTCAGGATTAAACCTTTCTATCACTCATCGATATTCCACAGTCATCTAAAGGTTGCTACAGAAATATGCCAAGGGGTCCCTAAGTACCCCTATCCCAGTCAACCCCACTTGAAAACATAAATAGTCTCAAGGCAAGACCAATGATTGATTTTTTCTTTTTTTGTTTTTTTGCTGAGAAAGATCTGCCCTGAGCTAATATCCATGCCAATCTTCATCTATTTTTTGGTAGGTGGGCCACCAGCACAGCATGGCTGCTAACAGACCAGTGGAGGTCTGTTCCTGGGAACCAAACCCAGGCTGCCAAAGCAGAGTGCACTGAACATAACCACGAGGCCACCAGGGCTGGTCTGATTGAGATTTTTATAACAGTTAAGTGAAGGCTCCCAAATAG